CCTCTGCCTCTCAAGTGGTGAGGTTAAGGCATACTCCTGGGTACTCTGCTTAGTGAAGTTGAGACTATATGTATATTATAGCTTTTTAAAAAATGATTTATTTCATATACATTTGTGTTTTGCTTGTATGCATGTCTGTGTGAGGATGTCAGATCCCCTGAAACTGGAGGTATCGACAGTTGTGAGCTGCATGCGATTGCTGGGAATTGAACCCTGGTCCTCTGGAAGAGCAGCCAGTGCTCTTAACCACTGAGCCATTTCTCCAGCCCCTATATTATAGCTTAAGGAGTGTATTTCATAATTCATGAAGCGCATTCACAATGAGACACTACTCAACTACAAAACAAAGACCAAGGAAGTTCTTTATATGACTATACGGAAAAAAAAAATTCATGAGGTTTATTGGTCTGTGAAAAAAGTAAAGTAAAGAACATGTACAAAGATTTATATAAAAACAGCAAGAAAGCTGAACTATGGCTCAGTAGGTAGAGACACATGCCACCAAGCCTGGCGTCTGAACTGGATCTCTGGGACCCATGTGGTTAACAAGGACAGCAGAGTGCCACAAGTTTTCCTCTCATCTTCACACATGTGCCCCCTCCCCACAAATAAATGCATATAATTAAAAACAGGGCAGGAAAGAAAGTACGTGTTTGTTCAGAGACACGCTATTTTTTTTTTTTTAATCCCTGGGTGCAGTGGTGTACACTTGGAATCCCAGCTGAGGCAGGGGGATCATGAATTTGAGGCCAGCCTGAGCTCTATAACAAGATCTTGTCTCAAAAAATAGCTTTTATTTCTCCCCCCAGTGGACACAACTTGTAGCACAAGAAGCTTGCTAGCATCACTTTGCCTGTAGGAGGTAAACGGAATGAATCGGGAGTGGGAGAAAATAGGAGAAAGACTATTTGAATTTAAAAATGACACAAGGGTTGGTTCTGTATTGTGAGTCAAGGGTATTTATAGCATCGGAGCACATACTACCAATCCAGCGAACACCTGTGACAATGGGTTAGAGATAGAGCACAGCCCTCATTTCAGGGCTCCGTGCACCCCTTTCTACCTGCCTTCTGTCTTTATGTAAGTGTGTCCATCTGCAAGTGTGCTGGAAATTTGCTTTGATTTCTTCCCCTCCTGTTTGTTGTATGTGTTTGGGTCTCAGCAGCCCACGTTAGCAACGCTCCTCTCTCCAGTAGAGTACCTCCATTTATACGGAGCGCACAAGTCTGATGTCCTCGCTGGAGCGTGTGAGCTTACTGTCCCAGGCAGACAGGAGGAGCCAAGTATCTAAATCAGAGGTGGAGTCCATCGTCGAGCAGGAGACCCTGCAGGGAGTCGACTACGAAAGCCTTGAGGACAGAGAGTTGAGAGAGAAGGAGGACCTATCTTCTCCCAGGCTCATCCACCCCAACGATGTCCTTAAGATTCTGGAGGCCTTTGTCATGGGGCTGAAGAAGCCCAAGTAGGCAGTGTGCGGTGGTGATGAAGGGCTTGCCTGAAACCCAGAGACTGGGAGGCTGGGAGGCAATCAGGGGCCATTGATTGGAAAAGGGGCTGTACACACACACACACACACACACACACACACACACCCATACAAATGTGATTTTTTTTTTTAACAGCAAGTATATGACTGGCTTCAGTACCATGACTGTTATTGCTTGGGGAACTGGTGTATTAAGTGGTGATGGTGACACCATTGGTTTTGACTTTCAGGGAAATCCGGCCAGTAGTGAGGGTGAAGGAAGATGTTCGCGATAACTCCAGGGATTCCGAGTATTGGGAGTCCCTGGCCCTGGTTATCCCTGCCTCCAAGCAGAGCCTCTGGGATGCACTGTACAAGGCCTTGGAGAAATATTAGTCAGTACCGGGGCATGGAAGGGCAGGGGGCTGGGTGGTCTATACGGACAGTCCTGCCCACAGTCATAGCTGTGTCTCCCACGCTCATAGTTTGACGTGGTAGAATGTTGGTAGGTGGTGGTGGTGGTAGGTGGTGGAGGGTGGCACCTCTAATCCCACCCTCCTTGTCTGTCCCTGTTAGCCTGGGAAAAGGGGAAATATTCCAGGTCTTCCTCTACTTGAAGCCAGGACAGAAACGCCAAGGGCCTGGCTTCTAATCAGTAGAGGAGGGAAGTCTGTGCTGGTCTCTGTCTAACCTGCTTCCTCTGCCTCACCCCCAGCCTCGTGCTGACCCAGAGGGCCAAGCTGCTGATGGAGAATGACTCTTTGGAGCAGCAGAACGCTGAGATGCAGTCCCTGCTGCAGCAGTATCTCCAGGCCAAGGTGAGTGGGGGGACCCCAGGAGGAGAGGGTTGCTGGCAAGTCATGGGTATCTATCTGCCTTTTGCCTAGGCAGAAGGACCGTAACTATCCCTTTGATGCCATGGCTTTGATATCACTCTATTGTGATCACTCTTTTTGTCTTTAATTTTGTTTTAATTTTTTGAGGCAATGTGTCAGGTGGCCTTGGCTGGTCTCAAACTCCATATGTAGCCAAGGATGACCCTGCAGTTCTGATATCTTGCTTTCACCTTGGGGAATTGGGATTTCAGGCATAAGCCACCACAGCCTGCGTGTGCGGTGCTGGGGATCAAACCTAGAGCTTTTCCTCATGTTAGCCAGGCACCCTACAAACTGAGCTACATCTGCCCCCTCCCCTCTCAGCTTGCACATTGTAGTTCAGGTTTGCCTTGAACCCATGACTGTTTGTCTCAGCCTTCCAAGGGCTGTGATGAGAAGCATGAGCTACAATGCCCAGCTGTAGAAGCATTTTTTTGTTTTGTTTTTGTTTTTCGAGACAGGGTTTCTTAGTAGCTTTGGAGCCTGTCCTGGAACTAGCTCTTGTAGACCAGGCTGGCCTCGAACTCACAGAGATCCGCCTGTCTCTGCCTCCTGAGTGCTGGGATTAAAGGCGTGCGCCACCACCGCCCGCTGGGCTGTTGAACACTCTCTCTCTCTCTCTCTCTCCCTCTCTCTCTCTCTCTCTCTCTCTCTCTCTCTCTCTCTGCGTGTGCACACTCACATGCCATGACACACATGCAGCTTTTGGGAGTTAACTTTCTCCTTCTACCATGTGGGTCCCAGGGATAGGACTAGGAAGTCGGGCTTGGCAAGAACTTTCCTGCTGAGCCATCTCACTGGCTCAAAATCATCTTTCTCAATAGCCCTGGCTATCCTGGAACTTACCATGTAGACCAGGCTAGCCCCAAACTCAGGGATCCATCTACCTCTGCCTCCCAAGTACTGGGATCAAAGGCACATTCCACCGTGCCTGGCCATAACTGTTCTTTTTTAAAAAACAGTACCAAGTCCAAAAGTAGCTTTAAGACCCCCCTCACCCCCACTTGTGTGTCTTCTTCCGTCCTAACAACCTGCCAGGGAGCCAGGCAGAAACTGTCCTCCCGGTTGTCAGAGAAGCGAGCTTGGAGATTTGGTGACGCTCCTCCCCCTCTGCCAGACCAGCTTCCTAAGACTTGACTGAGGGGCTCTGTGCTGTCTGGGGTATCCCTTCCAGCGAAAAGTGTAACTCGTTCCCATGGACTGGGCAGAGGAGGAAGGGGTGATGCTTTCAGGGCGGTGCTGAGTCCCAGGCCATGAGGGTCATGACAATCTCCAGTCCCTTGTCCAAGTGTAGGGGATCTATGACTCCAAGCTGGTCTCAGGTTCCAGGCCACACCTGGAAGGTAGAGGGCATGAATCTTGGCATCATGCTGGCTTCTCGGCCCCATCATAGGACTTAGACATTTGGAGACATGCGGTTTTTGTGTTTATGGATGTTTCTGTGTACAAGAGGATGGAGATGAAGAGCAGGGGCAAAGACTGAGGAAACAAGAGAGGGGAGGGGGAGGGGAGAGACTTAAGGGGATGGGTGGGGCAAGATGAGAAATGCCACCGGAAGTCACTTCCTAAAGCCAAGCAGGAATCCCTGGCATCCTCCAGAGTGAAGCCTCTCTGTTGTGGGGAAGCAATGCTTGCAGGGGTTGGGATTGTGGGAGAGCCAGCATCTGCACTTGAGCTCTCCCAGAAGGCAAGGAAATGACCTCCACCCTCTAATTTCCAGGTAAATGCTGAACTGCAGATTCCTCCAACACAAGGCTTCCGGATGCCCACAAAATAGAGGTGTATCTGCAAAGTCTGGAGTCAGAGTCCACACTGGTCACCCGAGAGCCTGGGCCCACCCTGGGTCTTCCAGATCTGAATCTGCCTGCCAAAATAAGGCAGCGGCAGTCCCCACAGTTCTAATAAAGTCTTTGAAAGCTTAGGTTGAATGCCTTTAAGGAGGCCAGTCTAGATGGACGAGGACCCTTCCCTGAGTGGCATGAGGGAGTTTTGTCCCTAGGCTCACAGTGCATTTAGACTAGCACCGGGTTCCCTTCCTGCCCTTGAGAAATGCTGGTTTCTGTGGGTGGAGGCAGGCTGGTGAAGTTGTGTGCCTTCAGATTATTCCCAACCTGAAGGATGGTCTCCATACTCTGGGGCCTCTGGGTCCACCAAGGTGTGCCCTCTGGGCTGCGAAGCTAGGCTCCTCCGTCAGCAACCGGGACTGGCAGCCTTGGGCCTGAGGCCCACCTTAAATGCTGCTCTACAAGAGGTACCTACAAGAGGTTTTTGTTTTCAAGACAGGGTTTCTCTGTGTAACAGCTCTGGCTGTGGTGGAACTAGCTCTGTAGACCAGGCTGGCCTTGAACTCACAGAGATCCACTTGCCTCTGCCTCCTGAGTGTTGCGATTAAACTCCTGCGCCACCCCTGCCTGGCCTACCCACAAGTTTTGCCTCCCCCCCCCCCCCCCTTCTCCTCATGCGCCACTTCGGACTCAGGGCTTGATTTATTTTATTAAGAGAAAAATCAGACTCAAGAAAAGCAACCGGCAGACTCGCAGAAGCAGAAGAGCAGCGCTCATAGTGTAGACTCCTGGCTGTGGCTGCCAACAGGCTTGACAGGGCTGCCTTCAGGACGGCTAGGACACTGGGTTCCCTCTTAGAGCTTGCGTCCTGGCCGGCACACACTGGCCTAGGCAGAGGAAGCCCAGGGAAGTGATGTTAAACCGAAGCTGCCGTGCAGAGTTGAGGGAAGGAGGAGGAACCAAGAGGAGAGCATGCGCAGAAGCAGCTGGCTCCTGTGGCCTTGTTCCGGCTACTCTGTTGTGTGGCTTCTGGTGGCCTTTCTGGTGCTTCCCACTGGTTCCTGCTTATCGAAGCTTTCAGCACTGCCCCATGTTCCTTGGTTGATTTCACTGGCGCCTTAACCAAAGATCTGTAATGTTCAAGGGAGGGTTGGGTCCCTGCCACTCTGGGAGCTGGACCAAGGAGAGCGTTATCATAGAATGTGGGGCATGGGGGTATCTGCCTTTGGATGCCACCGATTACAACTGTGTTCCAGACCCCAGGCAGGACTGGGGCAAGACCAGGCAAGCAGCAGTTTGGGTGTGGGGTGAGGATGGTAGCCCAGCAAGCAGGTGTCTTGCTCAAGGCTGGCAGCGGAGGTAGGGCTCCTCAGAGAGTTGGGAAAGAGTCCAGGTGAGGGAAGGCAAAGCAGCAGCCCCTGGAGGATGCTGGGGCGGGGCAGGGCGGGGCAGGGCGGGGGATACTTCAGGCCCCTAGGAGCTTCTTGACCATGTAGCCTGGGAGGCTGTAGAGGAAAAGGCCAAGCATGAGCAGCCCCAGCAACGCCAGCACGATCTTGATGATCAACCACTTGTACCGGGTGCAGATGAGGTACTTTATAGACTTGAGCGGGTTCAGGAACCAGACGAAGGCTGTGTCAGGCCGGCTAGGGTGGGGAGAAGATGGGAAGAACCTGTCAGCAAGCATGAGCCACCCACACAGGGCTCCTAGCTTCCCTGTTCTTCTACAGGCAATGAGTGCTGGAACCAGGGTAGAGCCCATATCTAGTATCAGACTACCGGCTCCTAAGCTGTATCCTCTCCGTGAGGCCTCTTCTGCCCCAGCTCTGCCCTGAGCCCAGGTGGCAGTTTTTGTCAGGGACAGCCACTTAGCCTCATGCTAATCACTTGCACTGATGAACTGAAGCAGAGGCCTCGGCATTGCAGGCCATGCGTGTTGTTCTTGAGATCTTAGCATTTCATGCAGGCTCCTGTCTCCCCATAGTCTCGGGAAATTAGAATTGCTCAACTTCCTTCCTGTCCTTCCTCCCTTTCTTCCCTCCCTCCCTCCTCCCTTCCTCTTTTGGAACAAGACCTCAATTATCCTAGGCTGGCTTTGCACTCACTATGTACCCACAGATGATCTTTGATTTATATGCCTGCCTCTGCCCACCGAGGGCTAGGATTACAGGCCTACATTGCTACCCATTTATAAAGTGCTTGGTGTTGAAACCAAGGCTTTTTGCTTGCTGGGCAGGCATTTCACCAACTGGGCTACATCCCTAGCTCCTAAACTCTCCCTTTCTTATATGCCCACAGATAATGCCCATATCAAGCATCCACACAGCTTGAGTGCCATGCCTAACTCTCACCAGCTTGCCCACCGTCAGGGTACGGACATGCCCTGCCTCCTGCAGAGTTTCCTTGCTGAGGTCCTTGTCAGCCTTTACTCTCTGCAACTTGTACCACAAGATCAGCAGGTTCCATAAAATGTCACAACATAAAGTGTTGGGTACATGTGTGTGCCAGTGGGCATCCCTGTGTACACAGATGGAGGCCAGAGGAGGACATAGGGATCCTTCCATATCACTGTCCTTAAGCAAAGGTCTCTCTCTCTCTCAGAACTTGGGCTAGTCTGGCAGCCAACAAACTCCAGAAATCTTCCCATGTTTGCCCCCAACAGTGTTGCTACGTTTGTAGGCCCAGGTACAGTCATGCCCTAGCTTTTTATGTGGGTGCTGGGGATTTGAACTCAGAGTCTGAGAAAAGTGCTTTTGTAGTTGGTGGACACTGGACTGGCTGTTTGCCACCTAGGCTGGTGACCCAATGCTACCTAGAGTGAGGTGATCTTGACCAAGCTATTTCACCCACTTCTTGGGTCCAATAATATAAAAATATGAAGTAGCCATTTCTGGTTCTGAGAATATAATTAGACTTTGAAGGTTTGAGAGTTGCGATGCATGTTTGTGTGGGATGCACATATGTGCTTGTGTTCGTCTGTGTATGCTTAGATGCACATGTGTGCTTCTGTATGTGTGTGCACTGCCTCCTGCATGAACGTGTACGTGTGTCTATGTGTGTTTTGAGTGTGTCCCACATGTTGACCAGCCTTTATCCAGAGATGGAAGGAAGAAGCACCAGGCACAGGAGGCTGCAGGGCTCAGGCCCCCAGGATCTTCTTGGCTAGGTAGCCAGGCAGAGAGTAGAGAAACAGGGCGAGCAGCAGCAGGAGGAGGAGGAACAACAGGAGCTTGAGGAGCAGCCAGCGGTAGGTGTGCCACAGGAAGTAGCGGGCAGACTTGAGAGGGTTCAAGAACCAGATGAAGCTCGTGTCGGGCCGACTGGAGCATTGGGAGAGCAGATGAGCATAGAGGAGGGACATGGGGGTGGGAACGGGCTTGGCAAGAAGACTCTGCTGACTAGGAAGCCAAAAAGTACCAAGTAGCGTTTCTGGCACCTGTCGGGCCACTAAGTCTGGCCACCATTGGAGTGCTTGCCCTTGTCAAAAACTAGGAAGAACCCATATCACGGCTGGACTGGGGAACTGGGGGGCAGATTGGGGAAGGCTTCCTGGGGGAAGGAACAGCTTTCTTTTGAGCTAGCTCTTCCTTTGGTTCAGAGGGAGGAGGCGGGCTTTAGGGCTAAAGGAAGGGGCTCCCCCATGATGTGACTGTGGCCCAGGAGGGGACAAAGTAGTTCTTGGGGAGTTGGGGCAAGAAGACTAGAAAGGTCTGGGACATGATGTAATGTGTCTGGGAGTCTAGGCAGACAGGACACTCACTTGGGTTTTTCTAGGGGGTCAGGTTCGTTGCGGGCCAGGCCCACTGGATTCTTCTCCGCCTCCTCTGCTGTCAGTAAGTGTAACTCCGCCTCCACTTTGCCCTGAAGGGAAGAACAGAAGAGTTCCCCTATCTAGGCCATGGTGGTAGACCCATGTAGGTCCACTCCCAAGCAGGAAATGGTACCCACCGTGAGCTCAAACTCATCATTCTCATTGCGGGCCAGGAGGGGCCACCAGCCTTTGACGCGCTTCTGTTTAAAGATGGAAACCAGGGGCACGTCCACCTCCCCTGTGGCCATCTCCATGGTACACTGCTTGGCTGTCTTAGCACCCCTTGGGAACCGGTTCAGGTCCAGCTCGATGGCCCCTGCGGTGACATCAGAGTCAGTTTCGGGTGGGTGTGACAGAGGCGGGGACTTCCCTGCCTCCTTCCTTTCCACCTCTACTCCATTTTGCTTGGGTCTTTTCTTAGCTTAGAGTGTCTCTAGGTATTTGCAACCTTCATCCTGGCTGTTGGGCACCTTCTGACCATGTTGTAGCAAAACCTAAGCTGCAGGTGCAGGTAAGAGTTTGGTGTAACCCAAGACCCCTGGAAATCTGCCTCCTCAGCGATCCTGGCTGACTTCCATCAACATTTATCCTGCCTCCCTCGTGTGCCCAGAGCTCCTTGTTGCTCCAGTGGTAACTGGGCAGATTTTTGGAGAAGCTAGATCCCGTGTGGTATCTCTGGCTCTGAAGACTAGGTGGACCCCCTTCTATGGACTCAGTCTGCCCACCCCTGCCTCTCAGTTCTGGGCCCTAGGCCTTGCTCTGCTCTGTACCTAGGAAGTCGTCAGCAGAGAAGTGGTCAGCATCCCATATCTGCAGGGTGAGCCGTGCAGGGATCTTGTACTCCGTCTCATCCCAGGAGAACATAGACTCTTTCTTAGACATGACGATCTTCTCTTCTGCCGCCAGGTAGTCAAAGGGGAACAGGTAACGCCAGTTGAAGTTGCCCTCACCAGTGAGGGAGTGGTAGTGGACGTCTGTGTCCTGTTTGTCCTCCTGCTGGCCCTTCAGCCACCTGCTGGGAGTCACCTGCTCCAGCTCTGTGGTCACATCCTTGGGACCTCACCCCACCCCAGGACTCCCTTATCCGTTCTCCTGGGAAAGTGGGCATGCCCAACTTCAGCCTCTCCCAGGGCAGTGACTGTCACCCACCCCCGCACAAAAATGTCACTGGACTTCTCTCCCGTGAAGAAATCGTCATCTTCTAGGACCACCTCATCTGTGTTCCACACGATGACCCGTAGCTCGTACCTAGACAGGAGCAGGAAGGCCCATCAATATCCTGGGTGAAGGCTTGTCCCAGGTCCTGGGGCCGGATCAGGGCAGGGGTCTATTGATGTGTAGGCAAGAGAAGCCCTGGATACTTGAGCAGGCTAGAAGAGTGGGGGAGGAGACTCGAAGGAGGTTATTATGGCTAGGGCCCTGGTGGGCTGGCTTTCAGCCAAGCACAGGTCAAGACAGTTAGGGGAGGAGCAGCCAGCCCAGAGCAGACACCCAATGCACACTCTTGGGACATGAAGCTAGGCAAAAGGAGTAAGGAGAGGTGTGCAGCTGCAAGGAAGTGGGCTGAACGGGAAGTAGATGAGGCGGGATAAGGGGGTAGTGCCCATCCCAGGCAACTCACTTCTTAGGTTTCCTAGGGGAGATGTCTAGAGGTGTCCCAGGGGCTGGCATGTCCATGGGGAACATATCCACCCACAGCTCCAGGCGACCCTGAGGAAGAGAGGGGAGGGGGGTGGCAGATGTCTGAGCCACCTATTCCCTCTGTTCAAGGGGGTCCACTCTCCTGGCCTGTCCCAAGCTACATGCCACCAGTTTCTAGCTTTGGATGCTAGGATGTCTTATGACAGCTTCTGGGGGCGCCAGCTTCGTGACATGATTCTCAGAACACACACTTGCCATCCAGTTGGCCTCGGTGGGGAGGGAATACAGTAGAGACACGGGGGACAGCACGAGCTCTGTTTCTACCCTATGACCCCGGGTGGAGGATATCTAACTCCAGATCCCAGCCATGTGTACACCACCTGCTCAATGCCGGGCTTGTCAGGGTTGAGCAGCGGCCTGGTCTCCACGTGTTCTGGTACAAGGCGGCAACCCACTCGGGGAATGTCCTCCCAGTGTCTCAGAGCAGACAGAGCCACGTGCTCATCTGTGGGCTTCTTCTGACCTGTGGGTGACAGTGGGTCAGGTACATCCCCACGGCCAGGGTCCCTGTGCTAGGGTCAGGAGCTTAGGAGCACAAAGTCCCGAGTTTTGACCTGTCTACCTCACCTTCGTTTTACTGCTAGCAACCAGACACAGAGGAAGGCCAAGGTCTCAGTTACAACACAAGGCTCAGGAGAGACCTATAAATTTTGTTGACCAGGCTTGGGGAAAGGAGTGGGGTTGTGTAGGGGACTTTGGGCCAGGGAGACCTAGGCCTACACCATTACTCTGCCTCCGGAGAGATACATGAGCTTGGGTAAGTCACCAAACTGGAACTTACTGAGTCTCATTTTGCTCATTTGTAGGATGGGGTATTTTCCTGGCCCACAGGGATGAACGAGAGAGAGTGATATGGGGGGGCAGTGTGTGGGTAGGTGTGGTACAGGAGAGGGTGTCAGGGCAGTGACTGGGCAGAACGGAGGGAGCTCTGGAGTACGGAGCAGAGGGTCACTAGGACCCAGTTTAAGGACATGTGCACTAGGTATGGAAGGCCCCCATAAAGAAGTGTGGCTCCTTGGTGGCCAGTGGACTGGGGCCAGTCAGCTGCTTTCAGTGCCCTTTACCATTCTCATCCTCTATTTCTGAAGGCCCCGTGAAGACACGATTGGCGACCTTCACTCTCCCATGGGGACCAAAGTGGGGGCCGTCCACTTTGCCTTCTTTACAGAGACGAGTTAAGATCTGGCTGGGCTTCATGGGGTCCCTCCAGATATTGTAGCCATGTCTGTGGGAGGAGACACACAGGCGTGAAACGGCTCTTCACAGTCAGCCAGTGCCTACCTCAGCAATAGGCCTGTGTCTCCAGGTTCACCCAAGACACTAGCACTACTGGCAGCTGACCCTTCTGCCTAGTCTTTGGCTCTAACATCCAGTGCTGCCTAACACTGCCCCATCACCCCTCAAGGGCTCTTGTGAGGCATCGGATAACCAGACAGGGAAGGAACTTGACCAAGTTGCTTGGCCTCAAGTGGCTGAGGCCTTCCCAGATCCTCAGAAGACATTATCCACTGTCCTGTCCTCTTCCGCTTTCCTGATTCTGTCTCCTTTGCCTTGGAATCCCCTCCCTACCCTGTCTTGGAGTAGAGAGGCCCAGCCCCTGAAGCTGCATGCAATGTATGTAGGGTGAAGGCATAACCTAGCACAGAAATCCTAGCATGCTTTTTGCTCCCGAGTCTTGTCCTAGTGCTGAGATGCAGCAGACATCTAGCCCCTTCCCTGTTCCCTGCCCCGTCCTTAGCCCCTCGCAGGGACCGGTCCCACTCCGTCCTCGCACATGGAGTAGGTCTGCGCAATGCCGCAGGTGGCGCGGTGCTTGCTGTAGAAGCGGTTTTCCAAGTCGATCTTGGTTTCTCCAATGAGGTCATCAGTGCCCACCAGATCCCAGTCGTACACGGCCACTGTCAGCATGGACTCCATTGGGAAGGAGGCCTCGATGTCAAAGGACCTGCCATGTGGGGGATAGGAAGGGGGTTTCAGGTTGAGATTGGCAATGGGTGGGGACTCGACCGAGAGTTGAGGTGGGCAGAGAGGGTACCACAAGGCCTTACTTCCCAAATATGGGGTTGAGTTGCTTGGAGATGTAGTTCTCCTTGTCGCGGATGTCAGTCTTGCCTAGCTTGATGGCGATGTAGGGGTCAGCTTTGCCATTGATGTCAGCCGGGTGCAGGTCCGTGGCCTGGTCAGGGAAAGTGTTGCCTAAGTAGAATCCTGGGTACCCTTGCTCTGTTCCTGAGGGTCCCATGATGTTAAAAAGTGGGGACAGGGGCATTGGGTTAGAGTCAGAGACTCAGGGTGTGGCTCTAGGGACGTTGCTGCTTCTTGTCACTGGTACTGGACTTCCTGTCTAGAAAGATGCAGACTAGACCAGTGGACCCTTCTGATGTCTCGAAGCTACCTCAGTCCTTACAACAGGAGGCGGGGGTGGGGTGGGGGGGAGGGCTTTCAGAGAAGGAATGGGAAGGGAGTCTTACCCGGACCACATAGACTCGAACCAGCACGTTAATGGGGTCATTGCTTGGGATGCCTTGAAACATTCCATAGGTGGGGTCGTAGCCAGCTTCTCGAGCTACATCCTCTGGGAGTGGCACTTTGTACACACACAGGGAACCCTGGAGCAAGGCATTGGGCGGGGATGGAAGGCTGCCGGTTGCCAGCTAGCCAATAGTACAGGCCCACACCGTGGCGAGGCCTTAGCCCTTAGCTGCCAGGTCATGGATGGTACAAGGATTGTAGAGGGCAGTGGGAGAGATGCAGGAAAATGAGGTTGTGAGGGGATCAGCATTCAGGCCACGCTCCTTGTCTGACCTTGAACCGACCCACGATGCGTTCCTCTTCCGTGGAGCCATCTTCATCGTCCCCTGTCTTGCCCCGCAGTAGGTTGAAGGTGTGCAGCCAGTCCTCAAAGTTGTCAAACTCTGACTCCAGCTCCTTGGGGTACACCTGGACAGGCCAGGATGTCAGGCCCCATGCCAGCCTCCTGCCCCATCTGCTGCCTCCACCCTGCACCTGGGCAGGATCTGCTCCCAGACCTTAAGCTCATCAATCTTGACTTTTTTCTTCTCAGGAGCCTCCGATCCCTGGACAGAGCCAGGGCTCTGGTTTTTCTTCTTTTTCTCCTCCTTTGAAGCCCTGGACTTCTCTTTGCTCTTCATTGGCCCCTTCGGGCCTGACCCTAAGAAGAGAAGGAGGCCCTAGTCAGCTTAGGTGAGCATGGGGTAGAAAGGGAAAGAGCAGAAAGGCCTGAGATCGAGATCCAGAGTCACTACTTTCCCATTTAATTCAGAGTCTCTCTCTCCCTTTCTCATTGTTTTGTTTTGTTTTGTTTTTTTTGAGACAAGATTTGTCTGTGTAGCCCTGGCTGTCTTGGAACTGGCTCTGTAGCCCAGGCTGGCCTTGAACTCACAGAGATCCACCTGCCTCTGCCTCCAGAGTGTGGGATTAAAGGCGTGTGCCACTACTGCCTGACTTTAGAGTCTCCTTGGGTTCCGGAGGTGCAAACTGCAGGCCACGCCTACATAGGTCAGTCCCTACACAGGAAGTAGTCTGCTCTTGGTAGAGTGAGTGGGGAAGGCATTGGATCTGGAGTCAGGGGGCTTGTTTGTGTGGACCTGTGCCCGCCCCCTTTGTTTTCTAGGTTTATATTGATGAGGCTGCTTCCTATTAGTATTTTCCAAGCCGCATCCAGTGAGATCCCGGGCATATGCGCCATTGGTGTGCTTAGGAGAAAAGAAGAAATCATTTCTATACTGTCTTCCTTTGAAAAACCGATAACCCCAGTGCTTGGGGAGATGACTCAGAGGGTGAAACAGCTTTGCAAGTGTGAGGGCCTAAGTTTGAACCCCAGGAATTTATGTAAAAGCTGAATGCATAGCAGAAGTGTCTATAAACCCAGAACTCCTATGGGGAAATGGGAGGTAGAGACTGGAGAATTCCTGGACACTCACAGGCCAGCTAGTCTGGTGTACACAGAAGCAGTGAGAGCGCGCGTGCGCGCGCGCGCACTCACACACACACACACACACACACACACACACACACCTGTGTAATCAATACTAACATAAAGGCTCTGAGACATCTTGCACCAAAGGAAACCTGCTTAAACCAGCGTTTCCTAAACAGATCTCACCACTGAATCCTTTCTCATCCAGAATAGCCCTGATGCTGTTCCATGGAAAAGGTTATTGAAAATGCTGGGCGGGACAAGCTAGGGATGTCCCTTCCAGCTCAGATAGTCTATGGTTCTGCGTGTCTGTCTGGTGCTGTGGTTGTTGAACTGGTCAGAGTGGAAACTACTGTAGAAGAGGTTCTTAGCTTGATCCTTGGAGCCCAGGCCTGGGAGTAGGGCTGGAAGCAGCAGACATTGTCGTGGATGCCAGGGGTCTGGATGCCAGGGGTTCGGGGCTCACCCTCAGTGGTATCCATTTCTTCCTTCTCTTCTAAGTCAGTTCCAGAGGACTCATGTTGTCGAAGTTGCTGCCAAAACATGATGGGGTTTTCCTGACTCTCCAGGTCACAGCCGGTGGCATGGTCACCTTCGTTTCATGTGTGCATTGCTCAGGGCATTGGTGGCACCCTATCTCTGACTCCCACAGCACCTTGTACGCTATCTGCCTCAGCACACAGATGCAAGAGATCTTTGTGGGACTGATGAGAGGGGACTCAGCCATGAAGGTCAACTGGCTACCAGCCCAAGGAGGGCGGACTCTGAAGGGAGATTTCGAGGAGCTGGTTCTGAGGGTTAGGATAGGAGCTGGAGAAGTGGATGTGATTTAGAGCTGGGGCACCTGCCACCCTTTCCTCCTTCCTCCCAGCTCACATTCGGCTCTCACCTCCTTCATTGTGTCGATGGAGGCAAAATACTTGGACCACCAATCCAGCATGCTCTCATCAGGCTCCTCTTCTTCTGCTTCGTCTGACGCGCCTTTCTTTTTCTTCTTCTTCTTTTCCTTCTCCTCCTCAGCCTGGGAATTGGCAGGGCAACCGTCCATAGGCTCTCCTTCTTTCTTTCGTGGGACCCTGAATGATCTCTTCCCACTCTGGCTATCTGATCCCAGAGAGCCCGCCCCTTGTCATAGTACCAGGGGGCCACCAATGCCATGGAGACAAGGCCTTGGTGCAGAGGATACCATAACCCCGTAAGAACCACAGCCTGCCACTGGCAGCCACAGGACGGGCACTCAGGGAAGGATGGCTAGGTCCAAGAAGTTGGCCTTCTGACCTGGCACTGCTGTAAGTGAATGGCTCTCTTGCCCGAGGGTCCTTGCATAGCTCCACCACTTACCACATCCACCTTGACCACAGCATCGGAAGTCTGTAGAGGGAAGGAACCAAGGAGACAGGACAGGATTTGCCACTGAGAACCCAAGGGAGAGGCAGTGGGCCAGCGCAGAAAGTGAGAAGCCAGGAGCCACGAGGGCGCACACAGGGACCAATGCTTACTTTTCTTTCTTGACCACAAGGCAAGCTTCACACTTACAAGAGCAGGCTGCCCGTTAAGGTGACTAAGGGCCTACTCAAGGCTGCTTCTGCTGTTCTCTCTGGCTTACTAGATCCCTGGCGGCCAGTACCTTAGAGTCAGCTGGGGGCTTCTATGAATAACGAGGAGTGTATGGGGAAGGGGTGGGAGCTGGGCAGCAGAATGTTCAAAACTGGGCACCTGGGCAGTGAGCTTTCCAGGCAGTGTTACCTGGAGCTGCAGGACCCATTGTCCTTTCTAGAGACCACTGGCAGCCCCGATTCTATACACTGGCCAGGTCAAGGGAAAAGCACTTTAGACCAGGCCGCAGGAGCTAGGAAATACCCCCAGGCTGTGTGAATCGAGCGAGGTAGAGATCAGGAGCCTGAAAATGTGACTGGGAGGGAGTCCCTCCGTGCTCTGAGCAGAGACGAGGCCTCGGGAGGCTGACTCCAGGCTAGCCCATCCTGCCCTCTCCTATAGACCTTCCTCTGCCAGGTAGACCCCCCTGAAGAACAGGACCTTCCCTATGAAGCTCCTTCCCCAGCCCAGGCTCCTGGGGCGTCACCTGTACAGGCCACACCTCTCTCATAAGCATTTCATTGCCTAGGGGGCGTTTCTGAAGTATGAAACATTGCAGGTCATTGCCTCTAACCATAACTACTTCTCTTGTACATACGTACCATCTGCTCATGTGCAGACACACGTACACTCCTTAGTTCCCCCCCACTTCCAGACAGTTCCATGTGAACCAAGGTTTGTTCTTGATAACTTCACTTAAAGAGTTAAGTCAGAGTTGCACTATCAGGACAGGTCTGCCTGGCTCTCCAATGTGCCACCTGTGTTTGTGTGTCCCCGGCCAGCTGGGAGCTGGCCACTGGCCTTACCGCATCCAACTTCACCATGGTCTCCAGCTTCTTGACGGGCACCTCTGGTTCCATGCTCACTACAACCTCCCCTGTGGAGCGAGAAGAGGGGCCCCCATTGCACAGCACGTGGTAGCCCCGGAGAAGCCTGACTGGACAGACAGACGACAGACAGGAGGAGCAGAGTCACAGTGAGAAGCAGTAAGGTAGGAAGAACGGCCTACGGCAGATTCTGGAGCTTTCTTAGGGCAGAGGGACAGGGCAGATGCAAGAACAAGCTAGGCACAAGGAAGGGAAGTGATCTAGAGAGAGTGATGGACCCTTGTGCATTCAGACAGCAGAACTGAGGTGAGGCCCAGAGGCTATGACCAGCGGGGGACCTGGGTCTCCTCCATCACCTGGGAGAAGAAGCCATCTGCTCTCAGCCTTTTGAGGGCCTGTCGGGACTAGCTGTGGGCCTCAGAGTGAAGGGCAGCCCTGTGCTGCCTTCTCTGACCCTAAGGCTGTCCATCCCCCCACCCCCACTCCAGCCCTGCTACACTGCCACACTGCCCCATAGAGATGCCCTAGAGGAAATCCTACTGGATACTTGAACTGCCCTGTGAGATAGGCCCTTCTAGGAGCTGACTAGAGGCAAGCCTGGGCTTTAGGTGGCCATACCTGTGGTGTTCCAATTGGGGGCTGAGCGGTCTGGGGGTCGGTAGATGAAGCGCCGCAGTGAGCTGACTGCGTGGGAGCCCACCAGGGTGTATCGTCCAAAGGCCCGGCAGTCCACCACTCGGATGTTCAAGGGCGGGTGCAGCAGCTCATTCTCTGGGAGGTCCTGAGAGATGACAGTGACATGCTACAGCCTATGCCTCAGAGAAGGGGCAGAGGAGGTTGGCTAAGGCACGCTGCACTGGTCACACCCAGCCCTGCTAGGCTCTGCTGGCTCCCACACTCACCACTTCAAACCACTTGACCAGGGTATTGAAATTGGGGTTCTTCTTATAATTGTGGATCAGGGATGATTGTACCCCCTTTCCTGCACACTCGATGTCCACCCGTGGTCGGTCCACCTGGGCCAGGTTCACCCTTTTCAAGTCCCTCAGGCCCCAGAACAGCACCTGAGAGCAGGGGGAGGGTGGCTTTGTGAAGGGAGCCCGGGGTGGCTGGGAAGGGTCACCTGAGCAGTAACAGGGTAGGAGGTGGAAGCTAGATCACCACGGGCAGGGGCAGTGCACTAGACTAGGGGCCTATGCCAGTGTTGCTGGCTCCATTCTTGGGCCCTCACTATCCTTTTCTGGCTAGGGGAGCAGGAGTTTGATGGCTTGTGTGGAATGTACACTCATGGCTTTTCATGGGGCAAAGGTCTCAGGGTGACTTGGGCAAAGGTCACACGCAGGGCAGGGAGGTGCACGGAGTCCACACGCACCTCTGTTGTGGAAATTACTTCAACTATGTAAAGAGGTGTTACGTTTGTTTATTCTGAGGAATGTGACTTTAACTGTTGTATTTGTTTATATTGCACTTACTTAATGATGTAAGAATATGTGTTTAATTGCATAAAGATGTGTTGCATCTGTTTCACCTTGACCGTCTAAGGCACCTGATTGGGCTAATAAAAAGCTGACTGCCAGTAGCTAGGCAGGAGAGGGATAGGTGGGGCTGGTGGGCAGAAAGAATAAATAGGAGGAGGACTCGAGATTAGAGAAGAGTGAGAGGAGAGAAGGAGAAAGAAGAGGGAGAAGGAGAGAGACACACCCAGGGCCAGAAGTCAGGCAACCACCAGCCAGACACAAGAAACAGTGAAAGTAAGATATGCAGAAGGAAAGCAAAAAAGCCCCAAGACAAAAGTTAAGTAAAGAGAAACAGGTTAAGTTAAAGGAGGTAGCCAGAAACGAGCCTAAGCTAGGCCGAGCATTCCTAACTAATAAGTCTCCAGGTCATGATCTGGGAGCTAGTTGGTGCACACCTCCACACGATACTTGCTGAGCACTGGCCGGATTCCCACGGGCACAGGCATGATGGGTCCTCTGTCCATGTCCACTGGGCCATTGATGGGCGGCAGGTCAGCCTTCCCTGATGGCCCAATCTGAGGAACAAGGTCATAAATCATAGTGGCAGGCCCTTTCCCCAGTGAGTTGGTGTCATGAGATCAGAAGCAAAGGGCAGGCCAGAGAGCCCAAAGGCCCTGAGATCTTACTCCTAGCCCCAGCTTTCAAGCCTGCCCCCATCCCCTTCGCCTGCCATTTACCTGTAGCAGCTCAAAGGCAGCCAGGAGGTCCCCGGCCGTGGCATTGCCTCGGTAGATCTGGTAGTACTCAAGCTGGGGCGGAAAGCGAGGCGGGCAGTATGCCTCATCTGCCATCTTCACCAGGGGCTTGGCGAAGGTCCGGCCCATGAAGTCAGCTTTACCCTAACACAACAACACTCTAGCTTTCCCTTGGGCACCTCAACAGTTGAGTTGGCTTATAGGCAGTTAGCCCCTCTTGGAAAGGGTATTATCCTGCTCTCTCCCGCCCCACACCAGAACCTCCATGGCTGCTACAGATTGTGATGAACATAGGTAGGGAGCAGAGCCCTGGAGTGGGGGTGGAGCTGTGGCATAGGGCTTCCTGGTAATGTCTCTGGAAGACATTGGCTTCCGTGTGTTTACCCAGGAGGTGGAAAACATCAGGGTTTTCTCCTGGTCCCCAAGAGGCTCATGGTACAGGAAAAGGATCAGGTTGTGGGTGGCCAGGAGGCACCCGGCAAGCTTGGTCACCAGCCACTCTTCCCAGCACAGAGCTTAGCGCACGGGGAGGGGAGGAACCCGCAGAGGCAGGGTTCACTAGAGGTTGCTGGTGCCGCTGCCCACCCTTACCATGGTGTCCTGGTCATAGATTTCAATGACAATGATGGGGGGATCATCTCGTAACTCATGAGCTTCACCGTACAGCTCCAGGTTGTCAAACACCAGCATCTGGTCCCAAGTGGGACACAATGTCTCATTCAGAACCTGCACCATGGAGTGAGGGGCAGAGAATAAGTGGCGGACACCACTCCTAGTCATGGGCCACAGGGAACCTGTAGGGTGTTTGAGTCCCCTACTTTTCCAGAAATCTGAAAGTCAAGGCTCCTATGAAGTCTGTTCCCAGCGCCTTGCCAAAGTTTTCTTGCCTTGTGGGCATAGCTCTAGTCCAAGCTGGTGACTTTTACCAGCCTAGCCAGTTGCCCAAAGGGCTTCCCTCTGAGATCTGGGAAACTAGCAGATCAATTGTATGGCTTTCCGGTGCTCCCAAAGCCAGAGTCCTCTCACCCCGCAGAGCCCCCTCTCCTCAGGGCCCCTCCCCCCTAGCCCCTCCCCTCAGGGCCCCTCCCCTCAGGCCCCTCCCCCAGAGCCCCGCCCCCCAGGCCCTTACCTCCGTGCACTGGCTCTGGTTGATGAAGAAGACGCGGGCAAAGGGATCAGAGAGCCCACTGCTGTCGGCAGCAAAGAGGCTTCGGGCCTGATACATGTGGGCTCGGAGCTGGAAGACTTGCTTCTCTGTGGGGAAGAGTGGGCTGAGCCATGCCATACGGCCCCCGTGGCCCTCTGGGGGTACAAGCTGGGAGAGTGGCCCACTCAGGATGAGGAATCCTCACTCACTGGTGTAGACCAGGCTGATTGGCGGAAAGGAGTGCAGACCCAGGCCTTGGGCTGCTTTGATCTCCTCGAAGCCACAGGGCAGGCCACACAGGAAGTCCTTTCGCTGCTTACTGAGGCCCAGCCACAGGTAGAGCTCCAGCTTGGCCTGTACTGTCCAACCTGCTGAGCCAAAGCCCCTCTTCCCTGGCAGCTGGGGGGCAGGATCGAGGTCACCAAGAGCCTGACAGCTTCCAGGGCCCACAGGGTAAGGGACGCCCGGGGTGGTGTTGAAGCCTCAGGCAGAGTTAGGCAGAGTTGTGCCTAACCCCTTCACTGTATAGATGTGGGGGTGGGAGACTAAGGGATGGACAGAAGGGCAGGGGTGGGGGTGGGGGGGGTGGGGGTGGGCACCAGCCCTCTGAATACCTGCTAGTTAAGGGCTCCACCCCCTTCCCTTAGGCTTGCCAGACTCAGTGGAGCCTCTACAAGAACCCGCCTTGCCCCACCTAAGTCCCATCCCGGGCAGCACCTTGAGGAAGAGGGTCTTGACTTTGGCGCAGTCCTTGCCCAGTTCCTCCTCCACAATGGAGAAGAGGAGGTCTTTGGAGGGCACCCGGGCATAGGCAATGCGCTTGTTGTTGCTCATCATCCAGATGAACACATCTGGAATGCTGTGCTGGGGCTGCAGCAGAGGAGCAAGGGCACAAGCCAGGGAGAATCAGCTTCAGTGTAGTGAGACCCTGAGCCGGCTGCACCACACTCCTGGGGCTTGGAAGGGAAAGATCCTCATTCCTGGGTCTTCTTTTTCTCCCACTGGGCCTGCTCAGTCTTGTCAATCGTGGCCATCCGAGCGGGGCAGACTTTCACGCCAGCCCCTTTCTATGCTGTCCCTGCCAGTTAGGCCACCCACCTCATCTGCCAGGAAGCGTAGCTTCTGTAGGAAGTTCTGGCATAGCCTCAGCTTGTCCCGTACAGTATGTCGCTTCACTTGGGCCCTCAGGCTCTTGGCCTGCTGTCCCATGCTTTCCTGTTGGGAAGAGTGTAGGAGGAACACTCAGCTTTCAGTGACAGCTTGAGCTATGACATCAAGAACAGACGGCCCCTGTCCATTGACTTCCCTGATCCCGGGGTCCAGCTGTAGCCTCACCAGCTCCCTCATACAGGACTTGAGGCGCTCCCGGTCCAGCTTGGTGCGGGATGAGTGGCCCTGGTCCTTGTCGGAGAGGGAGAGGAAGCGACTGCAGAGGGATGGGTGGGACAGAGCCAGGGCTTAGCCTCCTCTGCGCTGACCTGGCTACAGTGTCCCCTGTCCCACCCTACCGTCCCCATCCATCTTCTCACTGGCAGCCACAGCTCAGTTCCTCCAGCACACCCCGGAGGCGGCGCTCTGGGTAGGACTTCTCCGTTTTGATCATCTCCTGCACGTCATTCAAACCTTCTTCCTGTGAACCAGGGTTTCAGGTGCACTCCGGGCCTCAGCCCTCCTCCTCCCAGATGTCTTTCCCATTTACCCCAGGACAGAGGAACCTAGTAATGTGGGCTTATATATGTCATATATATTATGAAGGAGCCGCCAAGTCCCCAGGTTCTGTTGTAGACACTGGGGACTCTTAGTTATTCATGGGTCCTCAGCTCCTTCAGGAAGAAGGACCCAGGACTGGGTAGAGGCCTTGTGCATACCTGAACCTTGCCTAGTGGTCTCTGAGAGCCCAGACCTAGAGAGGCAGACCCTTAGACTACTCCAGAGCTCCCGGCCCTGTTGGGTGTCCCCCTTCTCTATTTCAAGAGAGCCTCTAGCTGGGCGGTGGTGGCGCATGCCTTTAATCCCAGCACTTGGGAGGCAGAGGCAGGAGGATCTCTGTGAATTCGAGGCCAGCCTGGTCTACAAAGGGAGTTCCAGGACAGGCTCCAAAGCTACAGAGAAACCCTGTCTCGAAAAACCAAAAAAAACCCAAAAAAACAAAAAACAAGAGAGCCTCTAGATAGACAGTCTGTGTTTTACAGGTGAGGCCCCCATACATGCCCGGAATTCCAGATCCCACCACCTCTCGCCTGGCCCTGACCAGCTTATCAGCTATGTGGTCCATGATGTTTGCATTGTAGAGGCGTCGTCTCTGGTCAGGCCACCAACTCTTGATGTAGATGCAGGGCTTGCGCTCCAGGTAGGGCAGGTGAAAGTAGTTCCTGGAGTCGGATGCGGAGGAAGGTTGAGGGATGTTGAGGCGTAGGGTCCTGGGAGGTGAGGGCCAGGGTCACTGGAGCTGACGCAAGTGGCAGGACCCACCTGTCTGTGATCTGGGGCCGCATAGGTGGGGTGGAAGACACTGAGGCCAGGTCTCCGCCTTCATCCCCCTCATCATCACTGGAGTTCTGAATCAAGTCTACTTCTTCTTCATCCCCAGGCTCCTTCCGGGGCCGAGGCCGCTGGGGCCGCGACATGCCATCGACTTCATTGCCATAGTTTCCTGGACAAAGAGTGGCTTTTAAAGTCCTTTCCTTACTCATTCCCCGCTCCGTCCAGTCCATGTTACTCCTGGAGAGGTAAAGGGCTCCGACAGCACCATCCAGTGAAAGGACCCGTCGCTCATAAGGGAGAGAGTTGGCTCTTTGGTGGAGTGATGGCTGACCCCTCTTATGGTCAGGTACACTCTCAAGAACCAGAGATGCTTCATGAGCATTTGAGGACAGTCAGGGAAACCCATCAATCCGCTCACTGTGCTGGCTGGTTTTGTGTGTCAACTTGACAGCTAGAGCCATCAGAGAGGAAGGCGCCTCAGCTGATGAGATGCCTCCTTGAGATCCAGCCGTAAGGCTTTTTTATTTTCAATTAATGATCAAATGGGGGATGGCCCAGACCATGGTGGGTGGTGCCATCCCTGGGCTGGTGGTCCTGGGTTCTATAAGAAAGCAGGCTGAGCAAACCAGTAAGCAGCACCCTCCATGGCCTCTGCATTAGCTCCTGCCTCTAGGATCCTACCCTGTTTGAGTTCCTGTCCTGACTTCCTTCAATATAAACAGCAATATGGCAGTGTGAGCCAAATAAACCCTTTCCTCCCCACCTTGCTTTATGGCCATGGTGTTTTGTTGCAGCTATAGAAACCCTAAGGCACCCACTCTTTGTAGCCTAGGGTATGTGGCTCACAGTGACAACCCAGAAGCTGGAAACACTTCCCATGATCCCAGTGGCTCTCACCTATGGTCACTTCAAAGGTAATCGGCTTGTCCCCGTTTTTCCGGTCAATCATTGAGGCTTCCAAGAAGGCTCCAAATAGGAAAAATTCTTCCATTCTTCCTGTGCAGCTCTGTGGGGGAGGCAGTTAACACTTACATTGAGTTTTAGTGGGGCAGCAGACTTGGGTCAGGCTCCTAATGTCATAGATAGGCATCTGGCTGACAGTTGGGGTGTGTCCTACTCAGTTCTGGGTCTGGGAAGTCTGGACTCAAGTCCCCAGCCTGGTTGTTCTTGAGAGAATGGCTAGCTCTATAGCTACAAGAATAGCCATGGCTGAGAAGAGGAGCAGAGGCGGGGTGCCATCTTGGTTGCTGGTGTCTATAATGGAATCTTGGTGTAGCGCATAGTCAATAGTAGGTGAGGACTGAGGTCTTGCAAAAGGGCCAGATGAGGGCCCCTGAGTAGACAGCGCAGCTCTAGGGAAAAACTAGAACTCTGCTGGCGTGTTGAGGAGAGGATCCAGTGAGGGACCTGGACCCAGCACAGCCTTGCCCTCACCTCCGAGACAGGTGTGGCCTGTTCCACCTGCACTTCTGTGGAGCTGGTGAGCTCTGGGTTGGAGGTGTCCAGGATCTCCACAGCCAGTCCCAGCATGAGGCGGGCACGGAAGGACACACCCTCCCCCAGGCCCTCGTTCAGGTCCTGGTGTTCGTCCAGCAGTGTGTAGTTGCGCGTGGAGCCGTACATGTTCACCCAGGCTGGGCCAAGCGTGGGCAGGAAGCCTGTGTCAGTGAGGGGAGGTAGAAAGATTGTGTCCTATCCAAGGCTCACTCAGGAGTCAGGGATCCTTGTGGACTTGGCTATTGGGTGCTAGGGAGGTGTGGGGCAGTTTTCTCACTCATGCCTATATGGCGTGCCTTCTGGTATCTTATTCTCTGCAGGAGCCTTCGCAAGGTGTGTGGGATAGAAAGCCAGACTCCTGTTTTCCATTGCTGTAGGCACCACCTTCAGACAGGTGCCAACTCTTCCCACACTCCACAACATGGATCCTCCACTCTTGGTTTTATTTCTAGATAAAGGATGCCCATCTATCCTGCCTGTCCTGCTCAGGGGACCTTCCCTCCTCTCTGTGTTCTCTTGATTATTTATGGGTCCCCAGCTCCATCAGGAAGCAGCAGCTTGGGCTGTGACCACAGTGGGTGGCTGATCAGGACCTTGGGGGTGAAACAGCCTCATTTTCTGTATCTGTCACCAGTCAGTTCTCTTGTGCTCAGGATTTGTTGGGGCTTGCCTTATGTGAATCTAATTCGTCTTTATGTCTTTTCCTCCCTCCCTCCCTCCCTCCCTCCCTCCCTCCCTCCCTCCCTCCCTCCCTTCCTTTCTTGTCAGAATCTGAATGTGGGCCCGCACTTTAAATCCTAGCAGGCAGATCTCTTTTAAGTTCAAAGCCAGCCTGGTCTACATGATAAGACAAACAAACAAACAAACAAACAAACAAAAAAAATCTTGTGTGTGTGTGTGCGCGCGCGCGTGCGCGCGCCGCGCGTGTGTGTATGTGTGTGTGTGCACTGTGTGTACATGGAGGCCAGTTTTTGATGTCATTCCTCAAGCACTGTTCTTTTTTTTCTTTTTTGAGACAGGGTTTCTTAGTGACCCGGAACTTGGCAAGTTGGCTAGATTGGCTGGGATTCAGGGAGCCCAGAGATGTGCCTGTTTCTGCCTCCCCAGTGCTGGGATTACAAGCCCATGCCATCATGCCCTATTTTTTTTTAAACAATAGTTTCTGAGGATTGAACTCATTCTCACAAACTATTTCCTCAGCTCTTATATTTAATTTTCGTTTTGTAAACACAGCATTAAAAATTGAGATATAATTCATTGATAAAATTTGGCATTTAAAGTATATATTTGGTGGCTAGAGTGTGTTCAGTAGGTTGTACACACGTTGTCATGGTCTAGCACACCCTGAAGGAGCCCCACACCCTGAGCAGGTGTTCCCGGCCACCCTCTCTTTGTTCCCGAAGCACCAGTCTATCGTCTGAGTCTGAATTCATGGCTTCTGGGTATCTCCTGGATGCAGAACTGCACCGTGGGCTGTTGTTTCTTCTGTTCTATTGTTTCCCACTGTTCTGGTCATTTGGTATCCTCTCTCTCTCTCTCTCTCTCTCTCTCTCTCTCTCTCTCACACACACACACACACACACACACACACACACACACATTCTTTCTCTCTCTCTCTCTCTCTGATTCCCCCAGGGACATGAGGAGGGTTAGGAGTGGCATCTCGTCTCACTGTGTCCTTGTGCCCGGCATCGTTCCCAGATTCTGGGGTACGGTCAGTCCCCACAGGTGCTCACCAGTACTAGTGAGAACTCGGAGATTACATTTACAGAGTGTGTGCACTGTAACATATGATAGTTCTTGTTGTCACTTGGCCAATGGGAAAACGGGTGCAAAGGCAACATAGCTAACTGCTAATCCAGTCAGCTCCGAGCAGTTATTACATCCTCCCTTTCCTTGAGGGAGGGGTTACAGATAAGACCCTTCGATCTCTGTCTGGCCGAGGTCCGGAGGTGGTGTAAGGGAAAGGGGCCTCATCTGCTCCTTCCTTCACGTCCCTTCTTGCCCCGGATACACCCATGCCAGGCTGCTAACCTTTGTCTCCATCGTTGGAAATCTTGCGCAGGTCAATAAAATGGGTGCCAATGGCCACGTCATTGACCTTGTCGGAGTCTCGGATCTGCACCTTCATGCGTTTGCAGAGTGGGGGAAACAGGTCTGTAAAGACGACCTGCTCATTCCACAGCGGCTCGTAGCTGCTCTTCTGCACCGAAGTTTTGCCCTGGTGAGATGAAGTCACGGCTAGTGTGTTCTGTGTGCATTCCCAGTTGGAGGTTCCAGGTTTCTCCTGGTGTGCCTCTTCCTCCCATCCACCGCCTGTTCTTTAAGCCCATCATCCCATCCTTTGGAATTTCCATCCCAGTACCTTCTGGCCAGCAAAGAAGACTTGCACGTAGGGGTCAACGAGATCCTTGTTCTCCCCAATGAAAGCCTTCTTCACGTTGGCCATGAGGCTGGTGTTCATCCGGGGCAGTCCCTCTGCCCGGTAAATTTTCACATAGAACCGGGCCCATTGACGTTCTGCGGGCACACCTTCCGGGAGCAGCAAGTTCCTGTGAGAAGCAGGCAGCACATCAGATCCACCATGGACCAGGCTTAGACAATCCGCTTTGCATCTTAGGTCCTTAGACCTAAGCTATTCAAGGAGTATGACAGGAGGAGAGGTGGAGAGGGAGATGAGACAGAGCAAGTGCATGCTTGCACATGTGTGTTCTCTGTCTTGTATGTGTGGGCGTGCATGCATGTGCGTACACACACACACACACACACACACACACACACACACACACACACAGAGGCCTGTATTTCCCTGGGGCCCAGCATAATCTGTGAAGGACAGCTTCAGAGGACCCACACTTTTATTAAGGACACTAATTCGTGGTGCCTATCCACTTTTAGGATTTTGGGAAAAGCTTCCCATCTCATCAAGATTCAGCTTCCTCCACATTAAAGTGGCAATGATATGAATAGCCACTTCCCAGGAAGTGCTTTGTATACGGTAATGGAGGATGCTAATCATGACATCAACTCTCAAATCTTTTTGCCACCTTTCTCCCCATGACAAAAGCCTCTCAGGGGCCAGTCTCCTCCCCCAGCCCGTGGGAGACCAGGCTCACTGGATCCCAGCACATTTTGAGAGTCCAGACGATGTCCTGGAGTGTTTCTCAGCAGCCCTCACCCGCTGCTGAGATTGGCACACTGAATGCCATCTCTCTGCCGCCTGAGTGCATGGCACTGGAACCCTCGGGCCCTGGCAGCAGTAGGTGCCAGCATCTCCTCGTTCCACCAGCTTTCTCAGTTGGAAATCTGATGCCAAAGCACTGCCCTCTGTTAACTCAGCGGCCACACTGCCCTGAGCCCTGGGGGAGAGACTGGCAGGGTGGATCTTGGAAGTAAGGGGGTGATGGCAAGAACTCTGGGTTCAGGCCTCTTCAAGAACTTCCTTTTGGAGGATGGAAGGGTTGTATGCAGGCTCTAGGGGAGATGGGGGCCTCACCCCTCGATGTCATCCTCGTCTGTTTCGTTGGCCTTGTGAGGTGTCTTGATGTTGTCTCCCTTGCCCACCACAGCGACATCGCACTTTACGTAGCCCTTCAGCCCGGCAGAGATGTCATCGGGGTCCGACAGGATGGCCCACTTGTGATGGAACTGGTGTTCTGCAGTGGCGAGGAGGGTCATTGCACTTGTCATCCCCATCCCAAGCCAGGCCATGGGACATCCAAGCTGAGGACCTGCTAGGCTTTGCAAGCTCAAGGCTACAGGCTCAAGAGACTTGGGGCCACAGCTCTACTCGCACCCACCCAGTGAAGACAGAGAGCCTCCGTAGCTAGGCACGTCCCTACCCAGGAGCGTATTTCAGGACTCCAAATTGCTTCCAAGTCAGTTTCTCAGCTTGCCGTCTCTCCTCTGGTCCCTGCTACAGTGGGCCCCACATAAGTCCTACTAAAATAGAGGTTCCTCTTATCATGCCCCTCCTTTTCAATCCTTTTGAGTTCCCCTGCATCTTGAGGTGAAGTCCAAAGGTTTGGCAAGGGAGTCCTGCTAATCTCTTCCCTGCTTGGTTCTGCCACCCCAGCACGGTTCAGACAAAGTGCTCACTGCCTCTTGAGCCTGCTCCGGGCCAGACTCTAGGACACTGTGTCTTCCCAAATGCTCCACCTTCCTTCTCTTCCTTGTCTAGCTGGAAAATGGCTTCTTGTGTCCCTGCAGCCTCCTCTGACTACTTCAGAGGGATGGGTCTGACCCCTTGGTGCTCTCAGGGCCCTGTGTACATGCCTCCCACCTCATGGCACATCTATACACTGCCTGTCTCCATGTTTAAACAGAGATTAGCAGTGTGCCTCTCTAGTGTCCCCAGGACTCAGGACAGTATGGAGAAAAGTACAGTGTCAGCGAAGGAGGCATTTTAAGAAGATCTGCCCCACTGGGGTGATTTTAAAGCTAGTGAGCTGGTACCGGGTGGGGATACCTTCTTAATAGTATTCTGCAGGTACTGAAACCTCCAGGGGCTCAGAATGTCCCTCCTTTTATACTTGTGTCCTGCAAGGTTCTGACCCCAGTGGGAAAAGTGGGAACCTTGAGATGAGGTTGGGGAAGGGAGCAGAACCCAGCCTGAGTGTGTGGGTCAGCTGGTCCAGCTCTCAGGAGAGCTAAAGCCATGGTAATATCAAATGAGGTTCAAGGGCAATGAGAAGCCAATAAGCCTTAGTGCTTGAAGTCACTGGAGTGACTTCTGCTGAGCTGGAGGCCTCAGGAAGAGGGTGCCATAAATCCCCAGAACCTCATGGTTCTGAGCCGAGAGAGGAAGGAGAGGTAACAGGATGGGTGGGAAGATGAACAGTGCCGAGCGGGTGCCTGCTGGCCTCGGGGCAGAAATGGGTAGAAGGAACTGTTGGCTGTGGATAAGGGAGTGGATGCTTGTAGGGATGGCTAGATTGGCAGGCATGGATGTGGTTGGGTGAAATTGGGTGGTGGAGGGATAGCAAGGAAAGAATAAGATTTGGGTAACACAAAATTTACCTTCAAACCTAAAAGTGATCTGAAAACAAACCTGAAAGCATGGGTGAAGATTACAGGTGACAAAGAATACAGATGACAGATTTGGGTCTGACCTACATGAATGAAACAGTCACCTAAAACACAGTTGGTGAGTAGCCCACTTCTGGCTAGATGACCATCAGGGATGCAGCTGAGGGGCACCCCTGTGGGATACCCACCGGATTTATGGCCTCTGAGGGTCTTATAGAGTGGACGCTGTAATCTCTAGCTGGAGATACAAGGGAAATAGGAGACCCAACTCCAGGGCTTTGTCTAGGCCTGGCTCTCTCACACCTGTGGCTGAGGAGGTCTGGCTGTGAAAAGGCCAGCCACTCTGGCCTCTGTGACTACAGCCCATCTCCAGCAGAGGGCAGCAGTGAGCAATTTCCTGCACCTGCAGTCAAGCCAAACTTCGGAGAGACCTTTAAAGGACAAGCCCTGCCTTTGTGGGGCTCAGAGGCAGACTCTGTGGGAGCAGTAGGTGTGGGAGTGGGTTGCCCTGTGCTCAAGGCCCATGAAGGCCTGAGCTCAAGTTCTATCTGTCATTTACTCTGCCGGTAGTTTTGGACCAGCAATTTAAGCTTGGAGAGTCTCGGTTTCCTTACAGTCAGATGGGAACAATGGATTGGGAAGTTAGACCTGCAGGAATGTATCTGACCCAGTTTCTGAGCCTACCACCCTCCTCCGTAACAGCAGCGTTTTCTCAGCCAGAACTCAGTCACCAAGGGTGTATACTAAGATCTCTACTGACTTTCCACCCCCTCCCCATCCTGGCTGAAGGCCTTGCTGTTGCCCAGTCTAGAGATGTTATCACCGGAGAGGCTGGGGGCAGCACTCAAACCTATGGACCATGGCTGGGCATGTTTCCTGGGAAGCAGGAGTCCCGCCCAGTCCTTATCTGGAGCCCCCAAGCCTGTGTGGGGCAGTGGAGAGGCCTGGGCACCAGGAGATCAAACACTTCTTACACGGGGTGAGTCCCCTCATCCCTTCATGCCAGTCAGTCTTTCTTTTCATTGATTCCAGTTAGAGAACTTGTTATGTAGCTAAGGATGACCTTGAACTTCTGATTCTCCAGCCTCTACCCGCTAGGGCTGGAATACAGCTATGCACCACCACACCTGATTTCATAGTGCTGAGAATTTAGCTCAGTCCTTTGGGTGTGCCAGGCAGGTACCCCATTATTTAACATACACCCCCAGTCTATCTGTTTGTATTAACAGTACTGACTAGATGCTTAAAGACCTCACACATCTGGAAGGTTTTGGTCTGTGAGTTCATGTGCATAGCCTTAGATACTAGATTCACATTTCCTGATGTAAGCCACCTTGCCAGTGGGCACCAGCCACCAGAAAGCGCAGACCGCCTCACCTCCTTGTTAGAGTCACCTTGGAGGCCCCTCCCCCATTTCTTCTTGCTCACTGGTTCCTCTGTAAAGTGGGAAGGGATGTTATTGTGTGTCTAACTACTTTGTGAGGGTCAAATGAGACAATGTGGGATGAAATTGTATTGTCACCTCAAAGAGCCCAGTAGGGTGACTATTGACTTCTGAACAGTTCCATTTCCGGGTCATGGATATCCCCAATTGACCGTGTAATGACAAACCTTCTAGACCATCACCTGATGCACCCTTCACAACTCTACACGGTGTTGGCTGTCGGCACCTGTGGAGTGATCAGTCAGACACAGCTCCTCCCACCATGGCTGTTCCTCGGGGGGCCTGGGTCCCTTGTGAAAAGTGGTTTTAGAGCCCATGTCCCCCAAAGTTGCTGTATTACACTCGCTATCTATCGTCACATTTAGATTGGGTGGTGTGACTTTATGGGTTCTCTGGAACCCATGCCCTGGGTCCCCCCAATTAGATGATTAGCTGAGCCAAACCCTGGCACATCTGTGAGCCCCAGCCTCTTAATTGCCAGAGAGGGGCTTTGTAAGGATGGCAGGGCTTTTGTTTTGTTTTTGTTTTCTGCTCAGCAGATGCCAGCCAGAGGCAGTGGTGGGCAATGCCCTCATCTGACACCAGAGAAGTGATGCTCTCGGGTGCACATGTATTTAAGCTTCCTCCTCTCTGGACTATGATTCCCAGATCCCCCGCCCTGTAATGACTAAGCAACTAACAGACATGATGCACACGGCACGCACATCTGTGTGTAGAGTGCACACCACTCCACCGCCACCCCTATGGCTGCATACGAATGGCCAGTGGAATGTACCTATGCTCCTGGATGGATGAGCTGGGAACTGATACAGCAGGAGGGACCCCGTTCGTTGCTTCTGGAGATGTGTGCATCGTCCCTTCTTAGGGGTTTACTCACCAGGCTGGGAGTATACGGTCCCCACATCCATTTTGAAGGAGCCCACCAGGGTGCCGCTTCGAAGCAGATTCTTAGAATGGATCACCTTCAGGGCAGAACCACCAGCAGCCAGTTAGGCTGGGCGGGGAGAAGCCTTTGCGGGCTGGGGGTACGGGCAGGGCTCACTGTTGATAGTGTTAACTCTGACTTTCTTTGGATCCACGTTTCAGAGTAAAGTGGGAAGATATTTGGCAGATGACAAGCTGGTTTGCTGAAGCTCAGCACCAGCCCCTCCCACCCTACACCATGCGCCGCCCCCCCCCCCCCCAGTTATGTATAAGTGAGTAGGTTTTACACTCTGTAGAGGGAACCAGCTGAGGGGGCGAGAGGGGCCAGTATCCATTCCGTGCTATCTGCTGTGTTACGAACAGCCGGTTACAGGGTTGTGTGGAGATCCAGCATAAGCCGGAAGCAGCTGCTCTCCACTCACCGAGATCTTGATGATCTTGTCAAACATGACATCAGGAGAGACGTGGAAGTCGAAGACGAAATACTAGAGGGGGAAGGATGCAGAGTGATGTCACTGGTGGCTGCTTCCTCCTAGCAGTGCCTGCCTATATCCCACTGTTTCCCATGAATCTCAAAGCTCACAGGAGCAGGAGTGCTGAGCCACTGGGTCCTGGGAGTCTGAGTGGATAAGAAGTCGAGCCCCATTTCCTAAGTTTGGTCTTTTGCTGCCAGGGGGTGGGATAGTCCACTTAATGCCCGTGTTCATGCCGCAGGCTGCCCCCCACATTTGTAGATGACATCATGCTATAATGTCAAAAAGTGGTTCAGGGTGGGACTTAGGGCAGAGGTCAGGGCAGGGGTCAGGGCTCAGGACACAGGGCTCTATGAAGCAGCAGACTTTCCTGGTGGGTTGAGAAAGCCATGGCAATTTAGGAAGCTAGGGAGAAGGTTCGAGAGAGACCATGAAGCAGGAGAGTGTCGTGAGAGCTCCGGGGAAGGAGGAAGGAGATGAGAATGTGGCAGAGAGAGAGGATGGGGTCAGCTCACACATCCACAGTGAATGGAGGAGTTAATAGGAGATAGCTAGAGACCCAGCTGGGAGCGGAGAAAGCCCTGTTTAGGTGGGGGTGACAGACCCCAGTTCCTGTCCTGGGGTATCCATGGTGAAAAGTGGTTTTAGAGCCCATGTCCCCCAAAGTTGCTGTATTACACAACATGAGGTGTCCTGGTTGTGCTCACAACATTCTGCGGGAAAGTGTCACATGGGCCAGGGAGAAAGAGTCAGAAGGCAGGCGAAAACAGAATTGGGGTCTTGGTACAACGCTTGGTCCTTTGGGTTGATAAAACAAACAGGAGGGTCCATAGCAAAGGTGATGGGTGGGAACTGGGTGGGAGGAGGGGCAGTGGTCACGGGCTGGCCAGGTGGACCACATGTGCACGTAGTGAAGGGGCCTTGTGTTGGTCCATGTGTGGCCAGGACAAATGGGAGGACAAAAATCACGAGCCTTCCCTTCCTAGGCAGGCTTAAAGCCATGCTAGTGAGCTGCCAGCCCACAAGAACTGGACCAGGCCTATGGAAGGACGGAGCTGGCTAAGCTGGAGCCAGACCCCATGTGCTCTGAGCTGGCTAGAGTCACAATTCTTGTATTTTCTGAGCATGAATGAGTCTTTCTTCGGATTGCTTAGAGAGCCGCTAAGTCAGCTGAGGGTTCCTACCAGCCTCTGCTGTTCTAGTGGAGACAAAGGTAGATCCCTACATCCTAGAGAACTTTCCAGAAACAAGGCATCCCCATGGCTGGAAGGATGTTTGTGGTGATTTGAATGGAAATGACCCCAATAGATGCACTGGGAATGGCATTATTTGAAAGAATTAGGGCGCGTGGTCTTGTCAGAGTAAGTGTGGCCTTCCTGGAGGAAGTGTGTTACTGTGGGTGGCCTTTGAGGTTTCAAAAACCCAAACGGGGCCCGGTGTCACTCTCTCTTCCTGCTGCCTGCTGATCCAGATGTAGAATCTCAGCGCCTCCTCCAGCACCATGTCTGCCCGCATGCCACCATGCTTCCTGCCATGGTGATGGACGAAACCTGATGTGGGATTCCTCTCTGTATGCTGTGACTATGTTTTATTACTATTGGTTAATAAAGACTCTTCTTTGGGCCTATGGCAGGGCAGAATAAAGCCAGGTGGAAAATCAGAACAGAGATATAAAAAGTAGGCAGAGTCAAGGAGATGCCAGGTAGCTGCCAAAGGAGACAGACACCCCAGAACCTTACCAGTAAACTATGAGCCTTGTGGTAAAATATAAAATAATAGGAATGGGTTAATGGGTTAATTTAAGATGTAAGAGTCAGTTAATAAGAAACCTAAGCTATTGGCCAAGCAGTGTTGTAATTAATATAGTTTCTGTGTGATTATTCGGGTCTGGGTGGCTGGGAAATGAACCAGCAGTCTCCGACGACATAAACCTCTGAACTGAAAGCCATCCCCAAATGTTTTCCTTTATAGAAGGTGCTTTGTCTTTCTTGGTCATGGTGCCTTTTTTCAGATAGTGACCCTATGATGTTTTTCACTGAAGAGGAAACGAAGGGAAAGAGACCATTCCTGGGGCTGCAAAGAGTCACAGAAATATAACGTAGGGGGTGGGCTTAACTGGGGGTGAGCTTACTTCCCAGGGGACATTTGCCAGCACCTGGGAATATTTAGTAGCTACCGCTAGGAGGCTTGTTATTGGCATTTTGTAGCCTCGGTACCTGGGTCAATCCAGAATTCCACTCATCCAAATGGTTGAGTTTAAGAAACCCTACTTTAGAGGAAAGAGAGAAACAAGCACTTAGCAAATGCTCCCTCATTTCAGCAAGAGCCCATTTAACAGTGTTACTGAGTCTTCCGTGTCCCTGCAGGTTCTGAGCTGGGAGAGCAATGAGGGAAACCTGGAGACCTGCAGCCCCTCATCTGCCAGGGGATAAAACCATGAAGAACCAACCACAGGAACAACTGTGAACCTTGGTGCTCACAGGGAGGAGGGTGGGCTGCTCTACGGCAAGGCCATTGGGGCTGGATCCTTGCAGAGACAATACGAGTCCGCTAGGGGCCCATAGAGCCAGGCAGCTACTTTGGAGGGAGTAAGCAAGTCAATGGAAACTTGAGGTACATGGGCCTGATGCAAGGTGAACCTTCAAGTCAGCCAAACCTGGCTTCACCACTATCAAATAACCCCAGAGAGTCACCGGGGCTCCTCTCCACAGTCGCCACAGAAAAATGGACCTTTATCTAGAGCGGAGGTTTTCCAGTCAGGAATGTCTCCTGTCCAGCTTGGATGTCCCGATTCCACCCAGGACTGGTGGGCTCTTGAGCAGTGATGTCCTGCCCTGGGGGGGCGGGGGGGGGCGGTATGGGACACCAGCTCAGAACACTGTAACCCGTGGTTACACATGAGTTTGGTCAAGCTTGAGTTGAAATGCTGAAGGGTTTCTGGGTTCTGCACTGCACAACTGGAGGCCCCACAGCTGCCTTGAGGACACCCTCCTTTGAGCTAGCCCAGCTCCCCTTGCTAACTGAAGTCACGGGGATAGACAGACCAAGTGTTCCCTCTAGGACAGAGTTTGGGACACCCAGGCTTCTAGATATTTGCAGTGTGCTCAGGCATCAGGGGGAGGCCTGGCCACCTCCTCCAAATCTAATCATGATGGGGTCCCATCTGGAGTCCAACAGTCAGTGTGGGCCTTATCCCATCCACAGCCCCATGGGGGCGGTGGGAAGGCCCTTCCTGACCTCAGGCCTCAGTTATCTCCTCTGTAAGATGGGGAGACGGAACTGGTAAGGCTCTAAGGGGCGTCACCCTCCGTGTGGTCTCAAGTGGAGGGGACAGCAGCCATTTTCTTTCTCACAGCTGAAGTGGAGGCTGTGCTCCAGAGGGTGGTCTCTTAGGAACACAGGTGCCAAGAAGGCAGCGTAGTGGAAAGAACAGATACCCCGACCTGACCAGCAAGATCCAGGGTCTCAGTGTTTCTGCCCGTGCCTTGGGCAACAGTGTCCATGTATGATGGGTATTGATGTAACTATGTATGTAGGAGAGACAAGGTACCTGGAAGGACTTATTCATGGCATTAGTGGCACCTGGGCTAGGCTGGTGTGAGCTGCCCTACCCTCAGGTAGGCATGGTTGGTTTGTAGCCACAGCAGGGCCAGACGGGGTCCAGTCACACTGGGTACAGAGGGTATAGCACTGTATGCCTGTGTGCTGGGTTGTGAGAAGGTCGGCCAAGACCTTGGGGCTGGTGGCTCTGTGTTCCGGTGTCAGTAAGACCCTTCCCCACCTTGAGGCCACGGGGGACACTGACCTCATTGTAGTAGGGGCAGTTTGTGGACTCCTTCATAGACGTGTATTTCTTATCATCGCCCACCTCCACACACACCACTGGGTCCATGTTCAAGCCCACTAGCTGCCGAGCCTCGATTACCGTGATGCTGACCTGTGGGAGGGAGAGACGGGGAGAGGGGGCTGCATGAAGCACCACAGATACCTTAGAGTCTGGTCTTACCAGAGCATGGGACCATGTGGAAGAAAGGTCGGACATCAGTTTTCTTACAGCCTGCCAGGCGTGCCCAGCCCACCACAGGCAGCTGTGGACTGCCCGGAATGAGGTATAATGCTGATGGTAAACGTCTACGAAAACATTATGGACTCTTTTGTAACCTGATTGTTTCTTTATAAACTTGGGAGTTGACAACATTGTGTCACAGTGTTAAAAAGTTGTACCTCCTAAAAGTTCTAGTTGATTCCTGGGCTCCAAGTTCTAGAGCTGGGGTGCCCTGGCTCTGCTGGGGGAGGGCCACCAAGCCTGCTTAGCCCGTTTCCCATCCTTACGAACAGGCCAATCTGCTCAAGTCTCCCTGAACTTGCTTTGGGTCCTGTCCAGGGTTTCTTGTTCATGCTGCAGACCTCTGACATACCCTGGGGCTTTCCGAAAGCTGGGCCCTTTCCAATGGCATAGTCCCCTCTCCCTTTGTTGAATTTCCTTGAGTGGCTAGAGCCTCGCTTTCTGGCTTGTTTAGAGTATTTTGTATGTATTGTACTGAGCCTGCCATGGCCTCTAGCTGCCTGGGACCTTCTGTCCTGGGAAACCCTATTTCAGCTGTCTATTCTCTCTATAAATATTTAGGGGACACCTGCTAGGGCCAAGAACAGGCTCCAGGTGAGACTGGGATAAACTCCCACTCCTCAGGGATCTCACTAGAAAAAAGTCCTGGCTTATAGATTTTAAACTAGTACACACATATTTTAGCTTAGAATATACATAAGAGATACATGATATCTTTATATGCACATACATATAAAGACATGCATAGTTAAAGGAGGTATATAAAGACATATATGTGAAAAGATGTTTTATATATACATATATAAAATTGAAAAATGAAACACACATACACACACAGGGAGAGAGAGAGAGAGAAAGGGAAGGAAGGGAAGGGAAGGAGGGAAGAGAGGAGGAAGGAGTGTGATGTTTGATGCAACAGCCCGAGTCTTCATTTCAAGCCATTAGCTCATGCCTTGGATCTGGCAGGGTCAGTCCCCATTAAGGTTGCCATGGCAAAACAGAAACAGGTACCGATTTGGGGCTGCTGGTCTTGTCACTGAGCCTCAACCTGACACATGGCCAGGAACGGATGCAGAGGACCCCGTGGTCTCACTGAACTGCGTATTCCCAGCTCCAAGCAGAGCCCCTAGCTAGCGAGGGTTAAATGAGATGATGCACACCCCAAACCATCACAGTCCTGAATAGGCATGAGGTGAGAGCCAGTGGCAGGAGCGGCTTCTCAGAGAGAAGGTACCTCTGGTAGCGGCCATCTCTCGAGTGGGCACGGATTGCTCCACAGGAGGCTTGAACTAGTGTTTCATCTCAAAGCCTCCTGTCTGCTGTCAGCATTTCCCCGCTAGCCCTTGACTGTTAAGGGCAGCTGTTTGTGCCGCTCATCTGGGTCTCTGGCACTTCGGTTGCTATGCTTTTGATGCAACTTCTAAATATGATTTTACTCAGGAGAATTATTTTCCGTTTTTAGATAAAAAAGAATCCTTACTAAAATTACCATCCCACTGTGTTCTTTGAGGTCTTATAAATAGCTCGAAGACCAAGAAAAATCCACACATCAGAAGTGATGCTAGGGAACTAGAAGCCCTAAGACTAATAAGACCACTGCCAAGAGCTCAGAAAAGCAGAAACTGTGCGCTGAAAGAACACTTGAACTGTGTGAGCTGCCGCTTCTATTCTGGGGCTCGAGAGGCCAGAAGGGCTGAGGTTTGAATGCTTAGAATCCACGCTTGAAAGAGTCACAATAGTCACTATTTCTTCAGGGAACCGAAAAGGAAACAAGGCTAATTAACTTAGCTCCAAGAAGTTGACTGTGAAGCAACACCAGGAGTCCTTCTGGAATATTCTTTGCACAGCAGCGCACAGAGTTTTAACTTCCAGAAACCTTCTTATACAAAAGGTCTCAGAATTCTGTTCATCAGCAACTAATACCCCACCCCAAGGTTTTCTGTAACTCAGGACTGGGAACAGACAAGTGTGGTTTTGGCCAGATGTACCAGCTGAGATCAACTGCCCCATGTCAAGAGGGTGGTTGGTTTTTATGTGTGCATTCCATCTTTTGTCCCCTCCTCTATTTGGTCCCTTCCCCTGCTTCAGTATTCATCTCTCCATATTCTGCAGTGAGCACAGCTAGTGGCAGTGAGTGACCAGGGTCAGAAGCTGACAGTCAACATGGGGGGGGGGGGGGATAAAGTGGGGAGGAGAGCAAATGGTTGAACGGAATGAAGAGATGGGGGAAGAGATATTTCTGGTTCTGGATGAGGATGGTCCCAGGGGAAGCCTGAGAGTGTGAGATAGAGGTGGGGACCTTGGTACTGGGACAGAAGGGAAGCCCACTCCCATAGTCCCCACAATCCCTGCTTCAGTTGTGTGTGTGTGTGTGTGTGTGTGTGTAACCCTTGCAATTAAAAGTAACATTGTGGTCATTGTCTATATTTGTCAGGAGGGGATGGGCTACCCAGTCATCAGAATGTTGAAAAAACCCAAACCATAATGCCAATGGGGAAAAAGGATTGCAGGACAGTAAAGAAACTGCTACTTCACACACAGCCTTTGCAGAAGGAAAAACCAGAGAGTGCAAAGGGAACCGCCAGCGGGATGGCAGGACCAGCTAGCCCCTTTGGCTCTCCCACCATCCCCTGTTGAGGTAAGGGTTAGAATTCCCAAGAGTCCTCTCCAAGTGACCACAAGGAACAAAGCTGGGTAAAAAATGTCTACTCAGATGTCCTGCAGGACCCCAAGACCTTGCGGCCTGCTTTGGGGACTTCTGTTCATGCATGCGTCAAGATGGCAGGGGGAGCTAGAGGGAGGAGGTGACGGATACCCACCCACACCCAGCACTCTTCGTGTCCCCTTGTCACCAGGTATGACATGACCAGGCAGGCAGATCACTCCGGTGGTGACAGGGAGGCTGGAGTGTGAGAAGGGGGAATATGAAGACATGGGGGGCACAAGGAAGTGTGTTGAGTACAGCAGAGGCTGGGGCTGAGGTCTGGCCCGGGATATGGAACCATGCTAGAAGCTGGAGAGCTGCTTGGAGGTGACATGTTAAAGGTGACTCTTTCAGTGTCAGGAAAGAGACCAGGGGACAGACTCTAGGCTCATGGACATCTATGCTATAAGGACAGCTGCCCACTCTGCAAAGTACACATTCCCTGGGAGGTGACAGTGGTCTGTCCCCTTTCAGACACTACTAATTAGGAAAGAATTTGAATGTTCCACCTGTATACAGCACACCCGAGTCTTCCCACAAGCCTCCTTAACCTTCCCAATGGTTCCAACTCTCAGGATCCTACCTGGACCTGAGTTCTGCCTCTCTCCAGTGCTATACGCTCTTCAAGACCTTTCTGATTAATTACAGCTAAGTTCCCCAGAGGGAGAGAAGTCGCTGTTGGTTTATATTTGGTTTGCACATGGTGTTTATCGGAAGTAAAAAGGTTTTGTGCTTGAGTCCTGGTCACTCCCTCTCGCACAGTGGAGAAATACATGCAGGTGATCTGTGAGTGGATCTGTCAGCAGGTGACACAGTCCTGCCAGGTGAAACAGGGCAACCGGTTCAAGGCAGAAGGTTTAGAAGACTCGGGAGGGAAAAGTGTCTGGCCTGGGGCATAGAAGTCCCTGGCAGGAAGCAGTTTGGGAGGAAGAAGTGTTGAGCTCACAGACACCGGAAGGGAACACTCCAGAAGCCTCAGCTACAGAGAACAAGTGGCTTTGGCTGCTGTGATTCTGAACCCTGGCTACAGCCTTGATTTACCCAAGCTTCCCCCGTAACTTCCTTGGTTTCCTTTCTTACTGTAAAAATGCAGTAACAATTACATTCAGATGGTTGTTAGGATGACATCATCACATATTCAGCTCCTAGCACAGTGCCTGGCTTATAAAAAGCCTTTAAAAATAAATTATACTAGCAAACAATTTTACGTGCTTTTGCACAGCAGGCCGGTGGTATGGTATCTGCATGGGGGGCTCTGGGATTTCCCTGATCTCAGCACACAGAAGCAACTCTCCACAGGTCTGTCTCCTAGAGAAATCCCTTAATGCCTCAAGACATTGTGTTTGGGTTTTGATAGGTCAGGGGCAACACTCCCAAACCTCCAAGGGACTCTCAGGGCTTGAGGTTGTCGGAAATTTCAGGGTGGCACCATGTGACACCACTTGGGGCTATTTTTTTTAAACACCAGGGAAAATGGGGATGGAAGCAAACCAAAGCAAGCATTAAGGGAGTCAAGGCAAATCCTTGGGTATCATGACTAGTCATATGGAAAACAGACGGTGCCATGCAGCCCTTTCTATCCTCACCCGAGAGAGGTGGAGTGGGATTGTCCATGCTTAAGGGTGGTGTGCACGAGGCTTGGGAAATGGGCATTGAAGATAAAGCTGAACTCACACCAGTTTCTGACCTATAACTAAGTCCTATTAATTCTCAGGGAAGAGTCTGGAGTCATGGCAGGTCCCTGGGCCTGTCCTCAGAGACGCTTTTTCTTGCCTTTCTTCCCATAACGGCTAGGTGTTTCTGGCTTGTATGCCTGTCTGTTGTGAGCCATTCTATCCAGCTCTGTATCTCAGGCTGGGAGAAAGCTAAGGCTGGGGATCTGGGCCTGCGAAATGGAGGCCACTGAGGCCTGTGTCGGCAGATGCCCCCCTCCCTGACTGATGCTCAGCTCCTTTTCTGCCTGTGTTGTGGCTACACACACAACCGTCCTGGTCAGACCTAAATTTAGTTTTAGGAACAAATAACAACTAATCTGAGAAATTATAGAGACACAAAGGAGGGGAAAGATCACTCCTGTTCTTACTGTCTGGAGGTAACAGGGTTGATGTTACATCCAGCATTAAAACAAACTGGAACAACCTAAAAATACACCCACCATTCTTCAACAGCTCAGCCCTCAACAATCTGAATGTGTGTGTGTGAGTGTGTGTGTGTGTCTCCCCTCAGACCTCCCCCCCCCCTCTTTTCCTTAGAACTTTCAACAAAGGACACAGAATCTTCAAGGAGCTCTAAGTGGTGCCCAAATCTCAAACTCTTCCTTGGGTTTGTACCTGCCTTGATACTTCTAGAAAAGCCAGACAGAATCTGACTCTGTGATTCAACCTGTGGCCCTCTGTGACCTCCTGGTTCTTACCTGAGTCTACCATGTTCACCTAGCAGGACACCCCACTCCAGCAGAATCTGTAAGACCCAGACATCTGGGTGCCCACCTACCTGGTAATCCATGGGCCTCCCAGCACTTGGCTCCATCTTAATGTCTGGTTTAGACCTGAGGAGGAGAATGTACTGTCAGGGTCTGTGTGAGGGTTGGAAAGGCCAGAGGGACAAAATTGTGGTCTTCAAATACTCAATTCTGCCAACAGAATTGGGGATGGGGGTGGATGTCCTTGGTGGCACCACCAGACAGAGAGGACTAAGCAGAAGCAGAAGCCACAGATGGCCACTGGGTGAACAGAGTCATGTCTGGATTGGTCAGCACTCTGTGCCGCCCCCTACCCCCCAGCTGCTCAAGGACTCTGCCTCTGCAGGGAGACAAGTGATAAGGCCATCCAAGGATAGTAAGAAAGGGCAAGGCTTGGGAGAAGCACCTCACGGGCGCTGATTTCTCTGCCTTCAAATTTCAAGCCTGGCAAGTTGGTCCTGCCTGGCAGGGCTATGGCAGGTGGATTACAGGCCTCTGGTCCACTTACCGCTTGTTGGAGACGTTGCTGGTGAGAGCAGTGACGGAGGCCAGAGACACTGAGTCAGGATCCAGCCCATCCCCCAGCCGAATGGCTAGGTGGTCCAGGTCTTCCATCTCCAGCACTGCTGGCTCATCTGGGGAAGAAGTAAAGGGTAGGTGGGGGAGACAGGGCTAAGGACGGTCTCTTAGGAAGGAGAGTCAAATTTCAGCTTTATTTGACGACACTTGCTTAGAATACACCCATATATCTCTCGTCTTCTTATTGTTGGTTGATTGATTGATTGATTGATTGGTTGATTTATGACAGTCTCACTATGTAGCCCAGGCTGGCTTGGACCTCTGTGTCGATTAGGTTAGCTTCATACTCAAAGAGACCCAGCTGCCTTTGCCTCCTGAGTCTTGGAATTAGATGTACATGGTCATGTTCTTAAAATGTTTTAATCATCATTACGTCTAGTCTTCCTTTCTGTTGTAATCTTATCTGAATGTAATTCTTTTATCCACATCTATCTTCTAAAGCTCTGAATATCCTTTGTGGAAGAAAGTAGGAAATACCCTGGGCTTACTACATTCATCTTATGACAATGGCTAGTGTTAACAGGGAGGCGAGAGCTCGGGCGCATACTCCTGTGTATGACTCCAGCGGATGAAGTAACGATTTGGAAAAGCCATCTAGACATGGTAGGTTTGGGTTTCAGCAGGAAGCTGTACCCTCTATGAAGAGTGCAGTCAAAATAGAGGTCTAGGGCCAATGGACCACATAAGAAAGCCCTAATGCTGGCTACACATAGCTCCCCTCTCTGCCCCACATACCCCCTTATCTTCCACCTGTCCTTGCCTCCTCTTAAACGCCAGTCAGATACCCTTCCAGTCTCCTTTCTTAGGAGGGACCAAGCACCAAAGGTCACCCCAGCTCTGCAGGCCCAGTGGCCTCTCTCTAGGGATGAGCCTGCTGGCATCAGCCAGGTGCACCCCAAAAATGTTTCCTTGCTACTCTCTCTTCTAAATAAAAAAGTCTCTGGGCTCCTGTGAAGTCACTCATTGTAGAGAGGAGCCCACCTACCTGACAGAGGCTCAAGGGCTTATGATTCCTTTCCCCAGGCCAACCAATGGGAGTCCAAGCCCTGCCCAAGTGGGAGTGGCCAATGGGAAGTGGGGGAAGGAGAGCCCTTTGAGACCAATCTAAGGCGGGTTTAAATGATGGTTACAGTTCAAAGTGGCTGATGGAGCAGTGAGCAGGACCATGTTGCCTACCTTGTCTTTGGGGCTCCTCTTTGTGGGACCGAGTCTTGCCAAGTTTCATGGCGGAGAACACACTCCTTCCCGCTCTGTAAAAGGGGGACCCCGAGAATGAGGTGGTGGGGAAATAGATACATGCAGGAAAAACATAAACACACAAGAAGCAGTCCCCCGGGGGAACTCAGAGATAAAGAAGATGGAGACCCCGGGTCTAAGTGACTTTTCCCAAGGTACCTTCCAAATTAGGGGCCATGAGCCCTGAAGGACATAGGACACTTCCTCCCTGACCCCTTCCGGAGCAGGTGGGAATCCCAGCTGATTAGGGAAGTGGCCTGGAGTTTGGTTGGCTCTTGAGCTTCCCAGCTGGACCTTAGCCCACTCTTCTCAGAGCTCTGGGATCTGCAAGGCTCCTAAGTGGCCTTCCTGACCATGCACCCCAACAAGAGCTAACCGGAAAAGAGGACAGATGCCCAGAGACAGCATCAAAACAGATACATAGGTCTGGGTGGATCGGAGGGACAGACTGAGGCTGAAGATAAGGTAGGAGCCCTGGAAGCCAGCTCTTCAGGTCTCAGGTGGATTTGGTACACAGAACCCACTTTGTCTTCTTCTCTTCTCTGTACTAAGAGAGTCACAGTTCCCAGTGAAAAAGGCCTTTCTCTTATCCTGGATGTCCCTCTCCCCATGGCTTCCTACTGCCGATCATTACCCCTTAGCCCCTAGAACTCATGCAGACCCCATAGTTCCTACCTCTTCCTCTGGTGTGGTATGGCCAGGTGCCGAGGCAAAGGGCCTTGCAGTCAGTGGGGCTGAGGGAAGGAGGCAGGGGTCCCTACAGCCCTTTAGTGATGTCCCTGAAGTCCAGCCTGAGGTCCCCCGAGGCAGGAAAGACCGGGAGTAGGATCCGTGGGGGGTAAGAGCAGTATTCCATTACCCCATCCATATTGTATAAGCGGGACACCTGACTCCCTGTGTTCCCATCCTCCTCCTCCTGCCTGTGGCTGCCATGCTGTAGTCTCCCATGGGGGTAGGTACAGCCCCATTCCTAACCTGCTTCCAGCAATGTCCACAGACATTGAATCAGCCTCGGCTTGCAAAGGCTTGGGGATGGTATCTAGGACCCCCAGATCCTTGCTCTGTAGGCTGTGCAGTGTGAGGTTGGAGAAAACCTCTCTGTCCTTGTGATTGCCTGGCTCCCTCAAACTCTTCTGCCTGAGACTGGGGAATCAGGTGCATTCCCCAAACCTGGCCCTATCTTAAACCCAGATGCAGAGTGAGCCATGTCTGTGTCCTGTGTGATTGCTGGGTGAACAGGGACCACTCCTGTCATTTGTTGTCAACTCATGAATGTGTTCATTGATGACATACTAGAAACAGGTGAGAGAGGTGGGCGACCCTGATTTGTCTGTTTCCCTAGTATTGTGGGTTTAAAAATGAAGGAAGGGACCCCATAAAGGAAAGCAGCTGTCCTCGGAGTTCTGATCATCGGGATCAAGCATCTTCTTTGTTGTTCTCTATCCTCTCAATCTTTTCTTCTTTTGTCATATACGGTCTGTGTGAACATGGAGGCCAGAGGGTGGCACTGCTGTCCTCCATTGCCCTCTATGTTAAGACAGGGTCTCTCGTTGATGCTAGAGCTCAGGGACCAGGCTAGCTAGTTAGCCAGCTTGCTCATTGGACCCTGTCCTCCCCCCCCCCCCCCCGAGTGCTGGGATTACAGATCCCTGAGTTCTATTCCCACGCCCCTCAACTTCCAGCCCACTTCTGCAGTTTTAACTGTTGGCTCTAAGCACAGAATACACATGAAGGTGACCTCATTTCAAAAGTCATTTGCTGGGATTAGCCTGTCTTGGATTTAAATGTTTTAGATTTTGGCTTTGCTAAAAGTTTAATTTTTTAAAAAATAACATTTATTTGCTTACTTATTTATTTAGAGAGACAGTGAGGAGACATGCATGTTCCATGGCTCATGAATGGAGGTCAGAGGACAATGTTTGGGCGTTAGCTCTCCTCTTCTACCATGTGGGTCCTAGAGATGGATCCAAGATCGTCAGCTCTGGTGGTAGACTTCTTTTTCTTCTGAGACACCCCCACACCCATACACTTTTTTTTTTTATAACCTAGGCTTGCTTGAAACTTGCTGTATAACCTAACCTGGACTTTAACTCCCAATCTTCCTGCTGGAATTAAAGGCATTTACTATCAAACTCTACTGGCAGGAATTAAACCTGGGCCTTGCATGATAGGCAAGGACTCTGAAGGACTCTGTCTCTGAGCTACATTAAGGGGAAGTAAATAACACACACACACACACACACACACACACACACACACACACTATGAAAAGTCTAAAAAGGGATACAGTTCTTGAACAAGAATTGTGGACCAGTGCCTTTCTTCATGTTTTCTCACTGTACCCTGCTGGCAATTGCGAAGGGCATGGGTATGTTATCTCTTCGTTCAGCCAGTGAAGGACTGAAGCTCAGAGATGAGAAAATCATCTCCGTGTCCCACAGTAAGAGCAATAGAGGCTGCAGCCTGATGTCCCCAGGCCTGCAGGAGTTCCACTGTCCTGGCTGCACTGTCTCCGTGATCAGGACCTCTCTGAACATGAATCCACGGTGACCAAAAGGAACACCAGGGAGAGGCAGCAGGACCATAGCCACAATGGGAACTCATTTAGAAAGAGTCCTTTATTCAAAAATGACCCAAGCCTCACCATACTTTGGGAGAGACTGATGAGGCTTAAATTACGGGTGGCATGCCATCAAGCAGATCAAACTGGTTGTTTGAAGGCGGGAAAGGGGTCATCCTGTCTGGCTTAACCTGAAACATCCTGGGGACGTTCTCCCCAACAAGTGGTTAAATGGCAGGGTGTCTATTTCTAGAGTCCCAGTCTTGTGCCTGTGTGACCTACAGGATGCCATCACCATGGCAGCCCGCTCTAGCCAGAATCTCCCCAGCAGCGGGGGAGGGGTGCTGAGCCGGCAGAGCTGAGAGTCAGACCAGGGCCTGCTTAGAGAAGTCAGCTGCGCTGCATCTGGGGCTGGGATCTGGGCTACTGCCAGAAGCCCAGAGGACTTGCATGGCTTTCTAAAGCTGGTCCCATATAGCCAATTAAGTTCAAGGCCTGGGTCACTCTTAGTTATGATTCTTTAATTAAAGACCCACTTTATTCTTTAGAACAAACATTTCGGGGAGTAAAAATAAGACTTTTAATGCCGTACCACTTCTACTGTGCCCTGAAAAAATTCAAAGGAGAAAAGCCCCCAAAGACTGCATCATGTGACCACTGTGAAGCAAACAGACTTGCTGGCAGCACCACGTGACTGGGGATGTCTCAAAATGGTGTTTGCTTCTTGATGAAAAGCACAGATGTGTGTAATGGTGGACCCCACCTCCACGGTTCCTAGTCTGGGCTCCATGCTTCTGGTACCTTCTACACTGTTCTTTAGTTGGTCTACAGCGTGGGCCAGCAGAGGCAAGATGTCATTGCTGCTGCTGTTCTTAGCGATTTCCCAGTGTATCAGTTGGTACACTGTAGCTATTTCCCAATGTATCAGTTGGTACACTGATCAATTGATACATTGGGAAATCGCTATAGAAAAGGCCCTTTCTACTGTACTGGGCCCTGAGAAGGGCAATTTAAAAATAAAGCTAGTTTACTCATGGAACTTTAAAGATTATCAACCTATATTGGAGACAGGTGTTTAACTTGTGATTTGAGTTTCTTTTTTTCTTCTTTTTTCTTTTTTTGGAGTTTCTTTTTTAAGAATTAAAATTTTGCATCTCTTCCAATGGGGTTCTACAACCACAGACATGCCATTCTACAAATGCCCCTGGTACCTGGGCCGTATCCATACCTGGGACTGCCTGCTGAATGAGGCCTCTCTTGAAAAATGAACAGACAACAGCAGGAATGGGCTGGTGAGCTGGCACTGTGGGTAAAAGTGTTTGCCGCTAAGCCTGGTGACCTGAGTTCAATGCCTGGGACCCACACGGTGGAAGGGGAGAACTGAGGACCACAAGTTGTCCTCTGCCTTCCATACGTGTGCCACGGCATGTGCTACACACACATAAACAAACACATGTAATGACCCAAAGACAAAACACCAGCAACAAAAACGTGCATGCACAAAAATACAAACAGAAAAGCTTGACAATTAAGAGTGTAGAGGAGGTGAAGATAGAGAATCACATTTACTTCCAGTGGCTGGGCTCGCCATGGTTAGAATGTTTCTAGACTGACAGTCCTCTGGAGAAAAGACTTCTAAATCAGTGTGTTTATTGTAACCCCTTCCTTTAGATATCCAACAATTCCCTCACCTTGTTCCATGGCTCAGTTCAGAAGTCTGTCACTACAGCTGTGCAGTGCACACATGACCCAGGGGTGGAAGCTGCATATTATGAACAGGGGACATGCACCAAGGTAAATCCAGTGGCCTGCGTGCTTCATTGATTTGCTCTATGGATTATTCTGGAAGCTGTGACTTGGAAGGGTATGGCTACACATGAACTACAGTCGCACTCACGGTCCAGCCAAGCACCGTCAGCTGGAAATGTCCAGGCTCATGCACTCACAGCTCAGGTAATCAGGATTCACGAACTATCTGTGAGAGTTGGGAGCTGTCTGTATTGTTTCTTTGCTTTGTTGCTTACACAGCCTCTAACTCAATATGAAAATGGCCTTGAACTCCTAATCTTCCTGCTTCCCTCTCCTGAATACTCAGACATGGACAGATGCTACCTATCCCTGCAGTTACAGGTAATTTTATAATCTTAAATGTATTTTAAGGGGTGAGGGGCTTGGTCCTGCCTCAACTGAATGTGCCAGGCTTTGTTGACTCTCCATGAGAGGCCTTACCATTTCTGAGGAGTAGATGGGGATGGAGTGGGGGGGAAGGTGGGAGAGGAGGGGGAGGAGGGGAGGGAGGAGAAACTGTGGTTGGTATGTAAAATAAATAAAATAATAAAATATTAAAAAAATTAAATGTATTTTAAACTATGGTTTGATTTGAATCACTTCCTGTGTGGGTAAAGGACAGGCTGACTTAAATGTTTTTGTGTGTATGTATGTATGTATGCATTT